TGCTAGTAAAAAGACAGAAGTTGTCAGACTAGGGTTTTTTTTCGTGTTGGACGGCCGTATGCTGTTTATAAGTGACACGCTCAAAACAGACGGCTTCACGATTAAAATAAAAAATGGGGAAAGAAACAATAGGCAAATATTTACCAAGAGAAAACAAAACTGATTTTAAAAAGACTGTGTGCTTGATACGACCACCAACTCACCGCCTGCAAGAAAGCCACACCGAGGGGCGCGGCAGCCTTGAGCCCGCAGCCTGGAGCCCGACACATCCAACAACAGGCGGCTGCTGAGCCACGGGCTCTGCACGTGACCGCGACACATCCTGAGAAGAGAAGGAAGTTTTATTACAAATTCGTTGGAAAGGAGGCAAGAGCTAAATTCAAGCCTGCGTCCCCAGTTCGTAAGGGAATGAGCTTCTCTAGGTTTGGGGACCAGGGTTAGGCTGAAGTGCATTGTCTACTCAGGGGCCAGTTTATACACGGAGGAGGAGGAAGAGGTTTTTTTTCTTTTTTCAGAGAACTGAAGTTTTGAATTCTGTTGTGCCCCCACCTTTCTGGACCCTCCAAGGTCAGTAGCCCCCTCCTCCGTATTTCTGTCCCCAGCTCCAGCTACCTGAGGCCTCAGCTCAAGGTCAGTCACTTCGGCTTGCCCAGTTTGGATCTTTTGCTAATAAGCCTCTCAGACACTGCAGAGAAAAGTCTAGATAAGTGTTTTTTTCTTTTGTGCTCTAGGGTTTGAGATCGATTTAACCATTTAACCTCATCTCTACCGCCTCAAAGTAGATCAACATACACTTCCAGGGCCCTGGATGCTCATTCACAGGAGACTCAGACATGCTGAATGAACAGTGTTTGAGGACTCAGGAAAACGCTGGTTGTGAAGATGAGTCATTCAGAAGGCAAGTGCTACCTAGAGTAGGTTGTCATTATCGGGGAGAAACACACCCCCAATCCCTGTGCAGAGTGGGCCTGAGAGACAGTCTAGACAGAGCAGGGTTTCTGGAAGCTTCTGGACCCTCCAAGGTCAAGGTGCCTCTGAGAAGCTGATGAATCCTACAAATCTTCTCCCTCCCCTAAAACTGCGTATCTACAGAGAATGTTACAAATAATACCAGGGGGTTTGCAGATACCCTGAAGGACACCCCTGATATGAAGATCTGAAGGTCAGGCAGCTAGAAACCATGTCATAGGAGGACTATCTAGAAATACCAGGGCCTCGTCTTGGAGGAAATGGACCCACTGGGATATTGCTAAGCATGAAGCAACCCATCGCCACGGCCCCGAGGAGTGTGCCACAGAGTGTTAAATAAACTAAGCTGCTGAGTTGAAGACTAAGAGTCACGCCACGGTCCTTGGCTCAGACCCAGCAACCCCCTTCCAGCCCCGTAGAATCCTGCAGCCAGGCGGAGAGCATCACGCGTGGGAATACTCCATCCTCCCCACTGCGCACTGCGCGGGCCCGACACACCAGCCGCCCTCTTGCTGGACACAGCCCAGGGCACGGCCTCTCGCAGGGGGCAGGCGAGGGGCCAAAGCGGCGGAGAGTGGCGGCTGCTGAGGAGAAAATGGAGTGATGTGCCGGGGCCAGAGAGCCGGGGAGCTGGTTAAGAGCAGGCTGTGAAAGGGGGAGTTTTCAGCAGGGCCCTGGACACAAGAGCCCAACACAGCGACAGGACCCAGGGCCAGCAGGCGGGGCTGGGGTGGAGGCCCCAAGGCGGTGGGAAAGATGGCTCAGTGCCCATTGCTAATAATCATCACCTGCCGGCGTCAGTGATCCCAAGGCCTTGCTGGCCGAGAGCCGGGCCAGGGCTGAGGAAGCGCCGTGGGCGCTGCTGGCCGCAGGCGGAGCTGAGCAAGGCCCCGCGGACGTGGATGGAGCAGACAGAACAGAGCACACGGGGCCGAGGCAGGGCTGCTCTGCAGTTGCAGAAATGGCTGACCTGGGCCCCCTCTGCCCCCCGCTGCAGCAGGCGGGGGGCCCAGCGGTGGGGTCCGCAGGGATGTGCTGGGGCCACTCTAGCTGGGGTCCCCTGCCTAAGCCTAGCAGTATCAGCCAGGTCACCCATACAGGGGGCCTGGCGGCTCCCTAAGAGCCTGACACATCCTTTGTGACCAGGTATCGAAAGGGAGCCCGCAGAGGGTGTGCGACCCCCGCCCCAGGGCCACAGAGAGTGAGGACTGGGTCAGAAATTAAAAGACAGACATCCCTCTGCCCAGCCCCGCCGCCCAGCCCACCGCCGCGCCGCTGGGGGCCTCCAGCCCTTTCTGTTGGCCTGGCCCTGGGCCCTACCTGCTGCTAGTATTTACACCAGCCCTGCCCAGCGGCCCTGTTCACGGAGGGCTCCTGGTCCCGCACCCGTTTCCCCAGGCGCACCGCTGGGTCCTTTCAGCTCCTCTTTCTTTTCAGTCCCAGATAGGGTCACGGGGAACCCTGCTCAGACCTTAGCTAGAGTCGCCTGACTGTGGAAGGAGCCGGAACCGACGGCGCATGCAAGGTGACAGGCTGCCCCCTGCTGTCCCGGGCGCGCATGGCGCGCAGCCCCAGCTCCACCTCTGCCTCCTCCTCCAGAGTTCGGCGCCCTGCTCGTGCTAAGTTACAGGCTAAAGAAATAAAGACGACCCCCAGAATATCTTCTCCAATGCTTACAATGCCCCCCAGCCCCCAAAATGCACCGTCTTCAGAATAGAAGCCATTGTGTTTAGAGGTGGGATAGCCAGAGCAGAGCCGTTTCTGGAGGGTATTTTTCCCTGCAAAAAGTAACCTCAGGGGAAATCAGAAAGTGCAGCCAGCAGGGGCTCAGGCCTTGGCACTGCATGCCCTGCGCAGAAGACCGGTGGGGGCCCACGGGGGTGTCCCTGAGCCCCCGGCTCTGCACCTGTATCCAGATCCCATCGAGTCCTCTCAAGTGCTCGTCACACTTCAGGGCGAAATGCCAGCCAGCACAGTCTCTACCCTGAAGAGCAAGGCCACGGCTAATTTTAATGTAATTAGCTATCAGGGAATATTTAAATTGTCTCCCAGAGCCTAGATCGGTATGGAAAATGTGGAGTCTCTAATTGCTGAAAATTATCAAGGAGGCACCTGGGGGAGCCGGGAGGAATGGAGTGTTCCTGCCAAGCGCAGCGCAGCCGTCAGCAGGAGCACAGGCTCCCGACGGGGCACACGTGCCTGACACCCAGGCCCTCCTCACCGTGGCGTCCCGCACGAGCCCCCCAGCCCCCAGAGCTCTCCTTTCTCTCCCAGAACTTGGGGCGAATCCTATCACCCAACGGGGTGGGGTGACGAGGGATGGTCACACGCAGGAAACGCCCGGCCCAGGGGGGCTGAGTACAAGATGGTGTCTCCATGAGGATCCTGGAAGGAGTCTGAACCTGGGTTGTATGTCATGGGTTGATAGGGGGCGCCCAAAATTTACGGGGAAGTCCTCACCCCTGGCCCTGTTTTGAAATGGGGATGTTGCCGAAGTTGTTAGTTTAAATACTGGCATAGAGTGGACCCCAGCCCCCATAACTGTGTCCTCATAAAGGGGGTGAATTTGCACACAGCGGGAGCGCCCTGTGAAGATGGTGATGGGAGGCGGGAGACATCGTCCACTATCCACAGGTGCCGGGGATGCCAGAGAAACAGCAGGGGACACGCAGGCGCAGGCGCAGGCTCTCCTCTCAGGCGCCACAGCGCTGCTGCGCTTTGGTCTGGAATTTCTAGCCCCAGACAGAGACAACAAGTCTCTGTTAAGACACCCCGTGTGGGATACTTTCTTATGGCAGCCGTAGCAAACCGCCATAGAACCCAAGAGAGCTGTGAGTAGACTAACTCTTTCTGCCTTTGTGTTCGTGAGTGGCCAGATCCCTTTCAGAGCATGCGCCCCTTAACAGTTTAGGGTGCCTGGATACCCCTCAGTCATATGCTGACACTGTGGGCATCATTCCCAATGAGTCACCGGGATCAGGGCACTCCCTTCCAAAAGGCTTTGGAACTTAATCCTACACACTGTCCATCCCTTTGCTGCTGAGAAAGGACTAAGTCTTGCCTCAGAGGACCCTGAACCCACGGCCTCCCCAGGACACACCCACCGACCCGAGAGCCAAGCACGTGGAGCTATTCGTCCAGGAAAGCAACCACTAAAATCAAAGAAAAACAAAGCATACAAGGACTAGGCAGCATTTTAGACTTACATGATATGCCCTCAACAAAAACAAAATGCTGGGCCTCCCTGGTGGCCTAGGGGTGAAGTCAGCGCTGTCACTGCTATGGCCTGAGTTCGATCCCCGGCCAGGGAGCTGACCCACGGGGTGCAGCAGACCTCTCCTGTCTCCCCGCTGCTCCCCTCAGCAGTGGATTTCAGTGAATCTGCCTGTTCTGCTCCCCACTCTGTCTCTGGTGGTTCCCCTCACCCCACCCCCATACCTCTGGCCTACACCCCAGTTCTTCTATGCAAAAAAATTGCTTCTAAGTACATGTGGGGAAGACCCCCACCTCCCTGCACCCCATCCCTGCCTCCCACCGACCCTCAGCTCTGCTCCCTTCTGACTCCTGCTTAGCGCTTTATTCACTCGGCTCCTCGAAAGCACTCTGGCACCTCTGCCCAGTGAAGTGGGGTGCCCAAGCCCCACACCACACACACCCCCCTCCCCCAGACTCACACACCATACCGATATACAGAAACACCAAACACACACACAGACACACCACACCCGGAGATGCACTGAGGTCCGCCCCTTCCTGAGCACATTTGGAAGCTGCCCGTTCCCAGGACAACAGTCAACACAGGCGGGAGCTCTAAACAAGCAGGACGCCACAGTGCTGTCCCCATCAGCCAGTGCGACTTAGGTCCGGGGGGCTTGGTGAGGGGCTCTCCTGGGTTGGGAGGGCGGGTATCCTGGAGACGTCTCAGGCAGCAGCTCAGGCAGGAGCTGCTCAGGCAGTGAGCTCTCGAGCTCTCTCTCTCATACACACACACACACACACACACACACACACACACACACACACTTGCACCCATGGGGAGCCGCCCCACCCCTGGCCTCCAGAGAACCACATCAGCTGGGTACCGACTGCCCTCCCCCAGGCCACCAGCCTCCCAGGGTGGCCCTGCAGCGGCCAGGGGTCTCGCTGGTGGCCGGGCCCCCCGGAGCCTGGAGGCTGAGCGGGCAGCCCTGGCAGCAGACAGCGTGCAGCAGGACCAGCTGTGGCGGGAGCTTCTGGAGGCTGAGCGGCGGAGCCAGTGGCGCTGGTGAGTGTCCTGCCCTTCCCTCCTCCCTGACACACCCGGGCTCAGGGTCTGGGAAGCTTCTGGAGAGGGAATAGGCCAGGGATGGGCATCGAGGGGCAGAGGCATGTGGCCCAGGGCGAGGAAAGAGCCCTCTGACGCCTGCCTTGGGCAGAGGGCAGGAGAGGCAGTCAGGGCCAGGTCAGGAGGGACCAGGGGACAGGTTTCCTCCATTCTGGGGCCAGCAGCCCTGTGCAAGCCTCCCCGGCTGGAGCTGGCAGGCTACCTGCATGCAGGGGCGGGCCCTGTGGGGCCCAGAACCCAGACACTATCTGAGGAGAGACGCTGGCTCTGACGGGGGAGAGGATATCCCTGGGCACACTCATTCAACCCCAAAATGCCTGCAAGGCCGCCCTGGACATCCCGCTGTACTGGGGGGCAGCAGATCCTTCACGCACGGAAGGGCACCAAAAGCAGGCGGAGGCCACCAGGTGCCAAGGCCACCTGTGTGATGACAGAAGCAAACCCAGAGCCCAGGCACCATCTCTCCCGGTTCCCTGAGGCCTCCTGGGGAGGCGCGTTAAGCCGAGGCCTGAAATGTGAGAAGGGGCCAAGGAAGAATGTGGCTTATTTCAAAACAAAGACCGTCTGTGGGTCTGTGGAGGCCTGGGTGGTTTTTGTAAGGAGACACCATCAAGGGTTTTACGTGGGAGTGTGACATGATCTAGTTTACTTTTTAAAATGACGAGTCTGGCTGCTTCAGAGTAAAGTGAGATGGGGGTGCGGTGGGGGAGGGGGTGGGGGAGTGGGGGACAAGTTGACAGGCTGTGGCCAGAGCAAGAGTGTGTCTGTGCAGCTCAGCTCTGGTGGAAGCGGAGCCGGAGATCTGGGGAAGACTGCAAGGACTGCTTTGGTGGCAGAATAATGAGAAGCACTGATGTCTCGGAGCGAGGGTGTGGCATGTGTATTGCGCGTGGCATGTTATGTGTGGTGGGTATGGTCTATGACATGCGATGTGTGTGTACAGTGTGCTGCGTACGTGTGATGTGTATGGTGTGGGGTATGTGCGTGGTGTGGATGTCCGTGGTGTGGATGGTGTGGTGTGTGTAATGTGCGGTGTGTGCAGTATGGCATGTGCATGGTGTGTGGTGTGTGTGACATGTGTTGAGGCGTAACGGACATTTACAAAGAGTTGTGTGGTGCAGGGAAAACAGAGGAATTTATGAGGGAGCAGTAGTAAGAGCAACTGAAACTGAGCGGACACTGGAGGAAGGGTGAGGAAGGAGTTGGGGTGACTGAGGGACCCAAGTGGGTAACTCAGGGAGAGCAGATGCCCGTGAAAAGTCTGAGCTCTGCGTGCATGAAGATGCCCACACCATACCCAGGTGGCATTGCCGGGAGACAGCGGGAGGAGTGACTCTAGTCAGGGGCTGAAAACCCGCAGAGAGAGTGAGTTCGAGGTCACCAGGAGTGAGAGCAGGAGGAAGGGGTGATGCTAACTGTCAGGGGACTACTTTTGGGGGTGCAGAAAATGTTCTAAAATCAGATAGTGACGATGGCCACACACCTCTGCATATGCTGATCATTACTGAGCTGGGCGCCTTCAAGGGTAATTTTTTTTTAATGATTTATTTTATCTATTTATGCATACAAGAGCTGGGGTCTAGGCCAGAGGTGCAAGGGTTTGGTGGTGAGAGGATTCACCAGAGACAGAGCGGGGAGCAGAGCAGAAATCCACTGCTGGGGGGAGCAGCGGGGAGACAGGGAAGGCCTGCTGCGCCCTGTGGGTTGGCTCCCTGGCCAGGGATCAAACTCAGGCCACAGTGGCTGGCGGTAGCTTGAAAGCGTTGAGACTTGACTCCTGCGCCACCAGGGAGGCCCTTAAAGGGTAAATCTTAGGATATGTGATGATATCACCATCAACAAAAAAGAGGGGGAGTCTGGCAGCTCGGCTCTAAGCTCATGCATAAAGCATTTAGGCGCCTTGAACAACCACCAAAAAGAACCTCTAGGTATGCATAAACAGGGCGGCATATGCCATATTTTGTTCTTGGATAGAAAGACTAGCAGTGGAAAGAAACCTGTGACTGTTAATAAAAAAAAAAGTTAGTTCTTCAAAAAAAGTACTTCCAGAAATAAAAGTGAATACAAAACACAACTGAAGTGAGAAAACAAGGAGGTGCAAAGCGTGAAGAAATAGAACCCCAGAACAAAAAAGTGCAATACACCTACAAACGGAGCCCCCCCAAAAGAGAATGAGAAGAAGAATTGAATAGAAAATGCCTGAGAATTTTCCAGAAACAGGTGATGGTGAAGGGAGGGCCCCTGTGACCCCACAGTCCCTGGAATCAAGACGCTGCTGATGAGCTCACGCTCCTGCTTATGGGGAAAAGCATAACGAGGGGCCGTGCAGTCCAGTGGGAGAGTTTGGAATCAATGATGCCCGTAGAAACCTAAGCAAAGTGGAAGAAAACGTAATTATTAAACGGAGAGAAAAACCCAAGTTGTACAAGTTACACTTAGTTCACCAGGGAACAAAATTACATAATCATAAAATATGAACCATAAATATCAATTTAACTGTAACCTATAATAAATTATTTTGGAGGAAATGAGGGGAAGAGAAAAGGGTCAGAATATCATCCACAATCTTCCACCACAGGGGGTCGCTGGGTTTGCTATTTCAGCATATGGGTGTGGAAGGACTAAAGACACAGCTGAAGACCAGAAGCTGGGGGCCTCCCTGCTGGCCTAGGGGTGAGTCTCAGCGCCATCCCTGCTACGGCCTGAGTTCCATCCCCGGACAGGGGGTGACCCACAGGGCGCAGCAGACCTCTCCTGTCTCCCCGCTGCTCCGCTCAGCAGTGGATTGCAGTGGATCCACCTGTTCTGCTCCCCACTTTGTCTCTGGTGAATCCTCTCACCCCCCCCCCCAGGGCCCACGCCTGTGGCCTACACCCCAGCTCTTTTACACAACAATAAATAAAAGCTTTAAAAACAACAACAACTAGAAAGTGATCCCAGCCATCGGGTGCAGGGACTGTGGGGGCTGGACACAGAAATCTACTTTTATTGTGAACCTAGTTTGACTTTTCAACAACAGGTTAAAATAAAAGTTCAACCCCCCCCTGCAGGTAATGCACCCACCGCTCCTCCGTCCCAACCTTTCTCTGCAGAACTTCCTGGAAGGTTACTGTTGACCCCAAACAAAAGCAGTCAGGTAGTGCAACAATAAGTGTGCATGTCCCCAAATTCAAGTGCAACACCCCCAAATAACCCCAGGAGGACCCCCTCTGTCCCACCCCAGGGAAACAGCATACCTCCCTGGCAGACGCAGGCATGTGGGGTCCAGGACGCCCCCTAAACGGCCTGCTGAATGTTACTGTCCACATTACAAAGAAAGCTGGGTTTTCTTCCCAAAATCCCTGCGGGCTGGCACGGCGGCCCTGGCGCTGCAGCGGGACTCGTGGGCACCGGCCCCGTCCGCGCCGGCTGCTGAAACGCTCGCTCGCTTCTCAGGACTCATCATAGGTCCCTGGTTGCCGTCTGGCCTCTGTGACTTGGGCTCGCGGACGTGCCGTGTCTCGGAGCCCGGGCCCCTCCCAACCACCGCCTGCGTTTCCCTTCCAGGGCGCAGAACTGGAGTTTCCTGAAGGACTACGACCCCCTGGTAAGCCGCTCGGGCGGGCACCGCGGTGCTCACTCTCTCTCCAAGGGGGTCCAGGGTCTAGTCGGCCCCAGGCCGGATGGACGGGGATGGATGAAATAGTCTTTCTTGGTTCAAGGAACTTGGGATCTGGTGGGAGGGAAAACACTTGTGGGAGACATTTAGAAATTAATCTTTCCCGGTGCTTCCTGATTTTATGAAGACAGCCCAAGCCCGGGGGGGAGCAGCTCCCGCCCAGCCCGAGGGTGTCAGCTGGTTCCCCGGCCCGAGGGTGTCAGCGGTGTGGCGTGAGGGGTGGCGCGCCCAGAATGGAGAATTTTGGGTGAAAATACTTTGTAAACTCCCCCCGTCAGCATCACACCTCCAACCAGTGCTGTGCCCCCCATTACAAAACTGACTACCCAGCGCCCCTGCTTAAAATCCTTCAAGAACTCTGCACTTTTTAGGGGGGCTTATGCCGCCCCACCACACTGCCCCACAGGCTCTCTCTCACCCCACTCTTTGTGCTGCTGTTCCAGCCCGAAATCCCTCCCCATCTGGTGCGCCTGGTAGACTTACTCCTTCCCCAAGACCCCACTGCTCCTGAGCGGACCCCCAGCGGGTGTGACTGGGACACTGTCCCGCACCCCCAGCCCCTCCTCTGGACGCCACATGCCGCGCGGTGCTGAGCCTCCCTGGCGCTGAGCTGCTTCCAAGAAAGGACAAAGAGGCTGCCTCGCCGCAGGCGCCCTCCCCCAACAAAGTCCTTAGCACTCGGGTCACGGTGGATGAGTGAGCAAGTGGGAGGGAGACTCCGGCTGTGAGAAGAGGGTCAGCAACTCAGTCTGGAAAGCGAGCAGAGGAGCCAGTCCACGCCGACCGGGCCGGCCTGCTCGGGGAGGCCTCGTGTGCAGCTGGCGCCGCGGGGCAGCCACCCTGGCACGGAAGCCTCAGCCGCTGGGGCCAGAAATCCCACACGGGGCTCCTGGTCCGGACGTCCAGTCGCGTCGCTCCGCCAGGGCCCTGCGCTGGTAACCGGAGCGCCGACGCCTGCATCCTGCCCCCATGCGGAGGCCGCCCGCGCCCAGGCCTGTCCGGGCGAGCCAGCACCCGCTTACCTGCCCGGCCCGGCCCCGCCGTTGCTCTCGGGCGGCGCAAAGCCACCTGCGGCAGGGCCGGGAGGCTGCGGGTGTCCCCACTGAGCAGAGCCCTTTTCTCTTTTTTAAACCAAGGTCATGTGGGCACCCCACCTGCTGCCTGTGGGCACGGGGCGGCCTGTGGGGGAGAGCGGCGCTGTTCCTGGGGCTCCTTCCCCGGCCTCCGTGCAGAACTCTCCCGCTGGGCTGGGGGTCGCCCTGCCCTCACCCCACTCTTCCTCTGCCCAGCAAATCTAGTTTCCTTGCTCCCCCCCATGACCCCCCTCCTCAGTAAGACGGGAGGGCTCTGTGTGAGGCAGCCTCCCCTTAGACACCTGCAAACAGTGGGTGCCTCTGAAAGGTTCGTCTCCTTTGGTTTCCTTCTTTCTTTCTTTCCCTTTGTGCTGGAGCTCACGTTGGCTGACGTCACTGTTTGCGCTTTAGCGTGCAGGGTCTCCCCTGTCAGGTGTCTGCATCTCAGGCATCCGATCCTGTGCCCCCCAAGGGCCCCCATGCCTTTTAATCCATGCATTTCCTCCTCCCGCGCGAGCCTGCTCCGGAAGCCTCCAGGAAGCTTGTCCACGAGTGTTCTGAGCACCGTCCTCCAAACAGCTCCCCCAAACTGGAGCTGACCCCAAGGTCACACAGGCAGAAGAGTAAGGTGGGGAATACTCCTGCCCTCCTGTGGGAGGCGGCAGCCAGAACTGAGATGGCGCATGTCTGCACAGGACATGCCCGCACAGGACACATCTGCATAGGTCACACCTGCACAGGACACACCTGCACGGGACACACCTGCACGGGGCACACCTATATGGGGCACACCTGCACAGGTCACACCTGCATAGGGACACACCCCCACAGTTTGCACCTGTACAGGACACACCTGCATAGGGACACACACCCCAGTTGGCACCTGTACAGGACACACCTGCATAGAGACACACTCCCTCACACCCGCACAGGTCACACCTGCACACGGGACACGCCCCCACAGGGACGGGCCTCCTGATGGGTTGAGAGAAGGCGCTAGACGCGAGCTGCCACCCCTGGGACGAAGTTCTGACGAGAGGGAACTGGACATCGGGCCTGGTCATCAGGGAAGGGGTCTGGGTCGGGGGCGAGGAAGTGACCTGGGCTGCGCTGTCACTGCCCGGCCCAGAGGCGCCTGCGGGCTGGGGCTCCCGCCAGGGCCGCGGCTCCCAGGGACATGGGACCGTCCTCTCTCCGCAGGGCAACAAGAAGGAGCCGGTGGCGCTGCCCGACTACGTGCCTTTCTTTTCCGACACGGTCCCCAACTCCGCGAGCCGGGTGGTGGGCAGCAGGGTGGACACGCCCCTGGGCCGCGCCCTCGCGGGCATGGACTTCTCCTTCGTGGGCGGCGTCCGCAAGAAGAGGCTGGAGGACGAGCTGCGGCCCGCGTAGGCGGCCCAGCCCCAGCCCCAGCAGGTAGGGGCTGCTCGCTAAGCGGTGGTCACCGCCCCTCCCCAGGATGGTGGGCAGCCCAGGTGAACTAAGTGGGTGATCTGACCCCGCGTGTCCAAGCACAGATTGCACACGGGCTTGCTTGCTCTCGGCTGGTTAGGGGCTGGGGTTAGCCCTGCCTTCCTGGGCACACAGCTGGGCCGCCTTCCCGGGGCCTCAAGCGCAGCGGTGGGACCCGCGGTGGCCAGTGGAAAAGGAGAAAAACAGACAAGTGCTTCCAGGCTGGGCTCTGACTCCGGATCGGGGGAGCCTGCCCGACCGCAGGTGCTGAGTGAGGGCGCTGCAGAGCCGAGCCCCGCGCCCCCCAGGTAGCCACAGGAGCTGGGAACCAGCAAAGACACAAGCCCAGCCCCAATCACAGCCGCCGCCACATTTCTGGTGTAAAGGAGCATTTTAAGCTCAGCGTCTCGTTTCTCCTCCAACCCACGCCCTCGGCAGCCGGAGGGCGGCTGTGTTCACATCACGAGGCCTGAGCTACCAGCAGAAGCTGAGACTCGGGTTCCGAGGCCCAAAGTTCCCGAGGCCGGGACAAGGCCAGCACCGCAGGGCTCACCGGACCCAGCCCGGGCTCCTGCAGAGAAGGAGCCGTGGCCCCGAATGGAGCTGCACCAGCTGCTCCTCCCGACACTGGCTCCACTGGGCTGAGCGGCTGGTGCTAAGCCTCGGTGCCGTTTGCCTGTGTTAGCTCAGTAAAGCCTCTCATGACCTCAGAGACGGGACTTTTGTGCCCACAGATGAGGAAACCGAGGCACAGAGGGGTCAGTCCCTTGCCTGACACCACACAGCTCCTTCCAGAGACCTGTTAGGATTCCTGAAACTACGCTCAGTTACACTCCGGCTCGGACACCCGGAGTGCTCCGAAAATTGAATCCCAAGTGCTGAACACGTTATGCGATTTTTCTGCCTAAAGGACGTCTCTGGGCCCTTGAGAAAGGGGAGCTGGTTCTCCCGTGTCTACCTCTCCCCGCCCCTCCAACAGCGTGTCCGTGGCAGGGACGTTCCGCAGACCGCGCCAGGTCCACGCCACGCTTCCCCATGCCCCGGACCGGCCTGGGCCCTGCGGCCGGTCACGGAACAAACCACTGCTTGGGCCCAGCGGGGAAGAGGCAGGACAAGCCCAGGGGCCAAGGCCACGTGGCTGCAGCTTCGAGGGAAGGCCAGGCCCCTCGGGGACGGCCTGGTGCAGAGGCAGCCGCTGATGGCTCCAGAGTCCCGGCCTGTGGTTTGCCATAAGCACACTCGGCCAGGAAAGCAACGGTTATGTCCATTTGAGGGAAAGGATGGAAGCAAGAGCGTTCTGGGGACTTGAGGTTAAATCCAGAGGCTGTGGGTGAGCTTCCCGCCGGCCCTGGAGGGAGGCCGGGGGCTCAGCCCGCCACTTGCTGGAAGCACAGCCGCGTGCAGACGCTGGGCCCGGAGCGGACTCCTGCCTGGCCGCAGCCCAGAGCGACTCTTGTGTGTCACGGTCTCCACTGAGACACTCGGGCAGCCCAAACTCATTCCAACTGCTCAGGGTCCCACAGCTTGTGAAGAGCCAGGACCCCATGGCCAGGGGCCTCTCCAGGCCTCAGTCTCCGCAGCTGCGAAAAGAGCGAGGGGGGACAGCGGCCTGGGGTCCATGGCCAGAGCATTCATGGCTCGCTGAGTCCTGCGGGGTTGGGGCCCTTTCACCACCAAGGGCTTTAGCTGGCTGCACTCATGCAGCGTAACAGGACACCCCATTTCTCGCTCACAGGTCAGCACGGAGCCGGGGGTCAGCTGATCTGAGCTCAGCTGGCGTTGGCGCAAAGGTTCAGGTCCAGTCCAAGTTGGCCCACAAGGCTCTGGGAGCCACAGCTCCTGGGCACGGGGTGGGGGCACAGGGAGCCGCGAGGCAGTGGAGGCGTCCCTGCGTGCAGTGCACCTGCTAACCGCTTAGCCAAACAACCCCTGTGGCCAGTCCAGCCTCCGCGGGCCAAGAAAGCAAGCTTCTTGACCACAGCAGGAGGTCACGGGCAAACATCTTCTGGGTAACAACCCCACCCCCAGTGCAGAGGCCCTGACCAGTTGGATAAGTAGCTCTAGACATGGTTTTCTATAAAACGTTCTGGCCAGACCTGGTCCTGTCCAGACCCGGAAAAGTCCTTCCAGAACCAGGCACCTGCTCCCGCCTGCCCCTGCTGGCCCCCACCCTGGGGTTCGCAGCCTGCAAGAGTTCAGACCCAGTGTACAACTCTCTCCGGGAGCTGAGACAACACCCTCTCTCCAACTTGGGGTTCAGGGAGGAAGTCCTGTTACAGAAGGGGACCACCAGCTGTCCTGGAGGAAAAGGCGGGGAGAGGGGGTGTGTGTGTGTGTGTATTTCTGCAAGGCGGGCCCACTGGGCCAGGAAGGGCGGAGGGGGGAGACCTGGACAGAGAGCCCCTGGGCAGCACCCCTTCCTCTCTGCAGGGTCTGGCCTCTCTCCCCTGCCAGCTTCGTCTCTCTGGAGCGCAAAGTCCTCCTTTAAAATGAAGCATCGCGGACACGCCCTCCCGTCTTCTGTCTTTGAGCTGCTCAGTCCGAAAGCTGCCGGCCTGTCCACTCGAGCAGAACGCGGGGTGACTCTCCCCGCTGGTCTGGATCACGGACTCGGGCTCCACGTGCTCCGCCGCCAGCCCCCCTCCAATACCCCACGCAGATTCCACAGCGCTACTTCACCTGCGAGTATTTCAGTATCTCTAGGGGCGAGGATCACACACGCGCGTCTCTGCCTCCTCGGCCTCCTGCGGCCCCCCTGGGCCTCCTGCGCCCCCTCCGCTGCCCGCGAGCCGCGCCCGGGGCTGCCCAGGGCGCCGGGGCCGGGCGGGGGCGCGGGGCAGGCGCGGGGCGCACGGGCGGCCGAAGCGGGCGGACTCCCTGCCGAGGGTCACCCCACACCCCGCACCCCGCCCTGCAGCCGGTCTCTGTGACCCAGACCCCCCCTCCGCGGTCTCCAGGGCGGGAAGCTGCGCCCCGCCCCGCACCCCGAGGCCACGTCCCGGTCCCCGTGTCCTCAGCAGAGCCTAGTTCCCCTCCCGGGCTCCGGGGCGCCACCCCCGCCCCCCCGCGCCGGGCCCCGGGGAGCCGGCGGCAGCCCCCCACCGCCGCACGCGCAGGGGAGGCGGGACCCCGCGGCCGCAGGTGGCTGCTCCCCGGGCGCGGGGCGGGGCGCTGGGGGGGAGACAAAGTCCGGGGTGAGGACGCCCGTGGTCCCGGGGCGCGGCCTCGCCCGGGGCGCGGTGAGTCAGCAGCGCGGCCGGACCCGCCTCCGGGGCGGGGCGGACTCGGGCCCGGACAATGGGGTGTCGGGAGCGGCCCGCGGGGAGCCCCAGCAGAGCGGGGCCGGGGCCGGAGGAAGTGGGGCGAGGAGCGAGCCCGTCCCGTGCGCCCCGAGGGCAGGGCCCGGACGGAGCGGGCCCGGGGGCGGGGCCGCGGTCGCGGGGTGCGGTCCGGAAAGGGGCGGGGGGCTGGGACTGGGGGCGCCGGCGGGATGTTTTGAAGCGAGTCCCGCGGAGGCGGCGCCGGGCGGGCCGGGCGGAGCCGCGGGTGGAGAGCCGGGCGGGACCCGACGGGGCGGGGCGGGCGGGGACCCGACGGGCGGGGCGGGCCGGGCCGGGGAAGCGGAAGGGCCCGACGGAGCCGGAGCCGCGCGGCGCGCACAGCAGCGCCCGGACCCGCCGCCCCGCGCCCCGCGCCCCCGCCCCCGCCATGCGCGCGCTGCTGCTGGGCGCCTGCAACTGGACCACGCTGGGCGCGTGCGCGGCGCTCAAGCTGCCGCAGATCTCGGCCGTGCTGGGGGCGCGCGGCGCGCGGGGCGTCAGCCTCCCCAGCCTGCTGCTGGAGCTCGCGGGGTAAGGCCGCGCCCCGGGACCGCGCCCGCCCCGTCCGCGCCCGCAGAGCCGGGGCCCGGGGAGCTGGGGCGGGGCGGGCGGGGCGGGCGCGGCCGTCACCCCTGCGGGGCCGCGCACGCCCGGTTCACAGACGGGGACACCCCGAAACCCGGCGTCCGTGGTAACAAGTCGCCGGCTTCCCCGCCCGAGGCCCTCGCCCAGACGCCGCTCCCAGGCGCGCCCCCGCGCCCCTTCTCGGGCCTCCGTTTCCTCGCCCGCAAAGCCAGGGGCCGGCATTAAAGATGCCCACGATGAGGGGGTTCGAGGCCGCAAGCTCCCGGGAGGGCGGGCATCTGGGGCGGCGGGGCGCGGGGGAGCGGGTTCGGGCGTCAGGACCCCGAGGGGGGCCCGGCCCCGCCCCGACGGCCGCGCGGGGAGCGGCCTGACAACCGCGGGGTCGGGAGGCCTCGAAGGGCGGGTAACGCGGCACCGGCCGGGGGGTCCCCCGGCGCCCCCGTGCAGCCCGCCGCCCCGGGGTGCCCGCTGGCTCTGGGCGGCGCTGGGCAGCCGCGCTCCGTCGAGGGCCGGGCGGGCCGGGCAGCGCCCCCACCCCGCCGCGCCCCCGAGGGCGCCCCCGAGGGAGCGGCTGTGAGCGACGCTGCAGTGCTGGGGCGCCCCGGCCGCAGGGCGGGGCGCGGGTGGAGGGGGCGCGGGGCTGGGGGCGCCGCTGGAGGCAGGACCGGGGTTGGGGGGCGCGCGGAGGGCGCGGGGCCCGCGAGGACCCGGGCGGCCCCGAACCCTCGCCGCAGGGGGCGCGGAAGACGACGGGCCGGGGCTCGACCTTGATGGCCGTAGGAGGTCGGCAGGTCCTCCTCGGCTCCCCGCGCCCCAACCCGCCGGGACGCGAGCCCCGCCCCGCGCCGAGCCCGGGCCCGCCCTCCTCCCCGGCAGGCGCGCGGGGCCACCGCGTCGCAGGCTCGACTGCAGGGGGCGCGCTGCCCCCACCCCCCCCCCCGCGCCCGGACGCCACCTGCTGCGCCCCCCTCCCCGCTCGGACCTCGCGTCTGCGCCCCGCGCCCGTGGGGCGTCCTGACCCCCCGGCTCAGGTCCGCGGACTCAGCCTCGGCGGCCTGGACGGGGCAGGGGTGCTGGGCGACCCCGCTTTCCTTTCCGGGGCCGGCGCGCCGAAATTTAGGGGTTCTAGGCAGGATTCCTTTGGGGAGCCCTTGGGTGTGGACCCGGCCATTGCCGCCGCCCCTGGCCCCATGTGGGCGCGCGAGGTTTGCGTTTAAACCTCCAGATTCTGGCCTGCAGCCACCGCAGCCGACAAGAAAGACACTTACTGCCTCTGGATCCCAGGCTGCAGGGCGCGGGGGTGGCATCCGGGAGAGTCCGGGTCCCCTAGAAAAAGCAGATACCACACGGGTCACCCTGGGAGCAGACATAGCCTGGGGGGTGCAGGTGGCCCAGGACTGGGGTCAGGCGATGCAGGAGCTGACCCTCTTCTCTTCCCTGAGTTTTCGTCTTATCTCCGGGGGCTCAGTTTCCCCATGTGGCCTGTGAAATGGGGCGGCCCACTCCGGTGACCCCTCACTGCAGTCACCGAGCGAGGCAACACGCCCTCCATTAGCTGTGCGCCCCCGCGAGGATCCCCAAGCCTTTCCCCTCACACCTCTGCCTGTATCCCTTGGGCAGGCCTCCGCGATGGGGGGCCATGCTCCCCGCCCACTGCCTGCTCTGCTGCTGCCCCTTCCCCGCGGAGGAGAGTGGTCCAGCGGGGCCTCTGGCTGGCCTGTGTGAGCCTCACTGCGGCGTGAAAGCAGAGACATTGGGGGACAGCTGGAGAGTGGCTCCGAGGGCGCTGGCTGGCTGGGGTGTGTGCCGGGAAGGACGCTCAGGCCTTCCCCGGGTCTTCACCTGCCCCCCAATGCCCAGACCCCGCAGAGCCAGAACCTCCTCGAAGGATCGGAGGCTTGTTCTTCAGCCTTCCCCTCTGCCCTCTGCTCCTGCCAGCTGCGGAGGCCGCATGCTCCGCCATCCTCTTCCCGGAGGGTCTCGGGGTGAGCGCTGAGCCCAGGCACGCCCAGCCCCGGCGGGGACGGCTGGCCTGCTTCAGTGTCTTTCTTGGCCTGCGTGCTTTGTGGGTGATCGTCTGACGGGGCGCCTCGCAGGAGCCCAGCTTGGAGACAGGCCGGCCTGGGAAGCTCCAGCTCTCCTGCTCCCAGCCAGGGGTAGACCCTCTAGGGAGCCGGCTTGTGGGTGACCCTCCTCGGGGCCTTGACAGACCCCAGGCATCACGCCAGCGCCCACCAGGCCTGGGCGCCCTGACCTGCCCATGATGAGCAAACAACCCCTCCTTTTTGTTCGGGATCTCCTGCCCCAGTCCTGGGGCTCTGCCGGGGCCTCACGCTGTTGGTCCATCTGTGTTCAGGGGTGCCCTCCCACTCCCCAGGTTCCTGGTGTTTCTCCGGTACCAGTGTTACTACGAGTACCCGCTGCTGACCTACCTGGAGTACCCCATCCTCATCGCACAAGGTAAGCCGCCTCTCGGCGCCCCCGCGCCCCGGCACCCCTGCCCCCACTCACCGGCTCTCCCTTGCAGACATCGTGCTCCTGCTCTGCATCTTCCACTTCAACGGGAACGCGAAGGGGGCAGCACCCTACATCGTCCTGTATCCTTCCGGCATCTGGGATCTGGGAGTGGGGGGCTGGGCCTCCGATGTGTTGCTGGTTTGCAGAGAGCAGGTCCTGGGCCAGAGGCCTGTTCCATTGTTTAAACTGAAAAAGAACCCCAAAGGCGATGCTCCACGGGGGGGAACCTGCCCCCAGCCCCGCTGCTCCAGAACAGCCCCTGCACCTTTGTTCCCACGGGGCACTGAGCTTGCTGGAAAACCAAGGCCCTCCCTCCAGCCATCCTGCCCCGGCCTCGCTCTCCGCGGGTCAGGAAATCAGCAGACAGGCCCCACCTGACTCCAGAGCTCGAGCCGCCTGCTTTGTACTTTGTCATCCTCCCGCTTCATGGGGGGGGGGGGGTCCTTTAAGGGCTGAGCCTTGGGCGGTAAGTTGGAGCCGCTGCCTGGGTGGGGACCAAGCAGGTGTCCCCTTGAGCTGGTTTTAACTTTTTCCAACTCTGGCAAGTTCCAGCAGAGCCGCTGCCCATCCCGCTCTCACTCCCGCGCGGGCCTCTGGGCTCGGTGCCCCCCGGGGGGCCGGGCCTCCATGGTTGTGTCCCTTAGCGCCGCCGAGGTTTGCCGCGTCCTGGTTCCTCCTCGCCCTGCAGAAGTGGATCCTCGACCTGGCCATGGTGGGTACGGCCCCTTGAAAAGAAGCCACCTGGGGGACAGGCCTGTCACCTGCGGGGGTTTCGGTGTGCCGAGGCAGTGGGGGCGACTCCCTCAAATGTGCTGAAAGTTTCTTCCTTTATGGGGGTGGGCGGAGGCCGGCTTGGGAGGTGGAAACAGTGACACGGCACAGCGCGCTGCCTTCTCACTGGGCCCGAGTGCCGTCCTGGCCACCCTCACTGGCTGGTTGCCCGTGTCCCCAGGCATGTTTTGTCCTCCTTGGCGAGGGCCCCGCTGTCTCGTGCCTGGCTTGGGCCCACGCCCCAACGTGGGAGACGCCGCTAGGGCCTCGGGCCACAGCCTTCTCTTGCTCCCTTTTTCTCCACCCTTGGATTCTGGCCTCGCGCACGTCGCTTCTTACTCGGCCCGAACATTCGGCTTCAGAACCTTCGGGTCTCTGGCGCCCTCGCTGGTTTAACCAAAGGGCTGCTACTGTCGTTCTCTGTGCCTCAGAACTTCTGCACCGTCATCAGCGCCGCCAGTAAGTTGGCCCAGCTCCAGTGCCTGTGGAGGACCCGGGACTCGGGCGCCGTCAGCGCCCTCACGTGGATCCTCGCCTCCTACACCTGCGCCGGTAAGAGAGCCTGGGGTGGGGGGCTTGGGGGGCTCCCCAGATGGCGCGGACTCGGTGTCCCTAGTCACAGCGCCTTGAGCGTGGATGCCTTGCCAAGGGCTGTTCAGATAGGACCTCGAGGGCGTCCGTATTTACCAGGCTGGAGGATTCCAAACTGCTCTCCCGTTTCTGTAGTCCGGTTGCTAAAAGACAGGGAGGCCACACCCTCCTCCAAAAAGCTACTTTAATAGTCGCGCTTGTGTGACAGCAGCAAGAGCCTGGTTATATCGAATCCGCTAACTCGTTTTAAAATTCCTAAACAAAACTAAAAAATTAAATTTGAAGGTGATGTAACAGATTGCAGCAGCCACAGTCATCTTGGCTTTGGAGAGTGAATGTCATTTTCATCGACGAGGTTTTCCTGGAATGACATTGCTTGGTGGCAACTTTGGCATGCACTGCCCATTGGATGCCGGCAGCAGCTACCTCAGATACGCTTAGGTGGAAACATCTTCAGAGCTGTCGCTTGGGATGTACTAGTTTTAGATGTTTGAAGTTTACATCTTCTTGCTGCTTCTATATTTAAAGGACCAAGTTCTATAGCCAGGGTTGCTGGTAGGGGTTTTTATGTCCAAGGTGATTTCAAATTAAGACTATTTTAGCTTTAAAATGAAGTGATATTATGAAATTATATATTTCACATGTAGTTCTATTGTATATATAAATATATGTATACACTGATTTCTAGAATCACAGGTTAGCTGTATTACTTATTACCTCCATAATTTTATGTTTTATCTTCAGGTATTTTAATCTTTAAAATGTTGCTTTTAAGAAATCTGGGGCACTTGTGACTGCTGAGTCCATGTATTACGGTTCAGTCTATTTTGCATGGCACTCTGTGCGTAACAAGTGCTTAATTATTTGTTGAATAATGGTCTGAAACTCAGCCTCCCTTCCTTTTTTTTTTTTTTTTTTTAATAGAGGCATGTTTTTTTTTATTTATTTATTTGTTTGTTTGTTTTGTTTATACATGCACTGGGTATAGTCAGAAGCGCGGGAGGGTGAGAGAATTCACCAGAGCCAGAGCGGGGAGCAGAGCAGGCAGAACGACCGAAGTACACTGCTGAGGGGAGCAGCGGGCGGCAGGAGAGGTCTGCGCGCCATGTGGGACCCTCCTCCGGTGGCCGGGTAGCAGCCGGGGATCAAACCGGCGCCGCAGAGGCCGCGGGCAGCTTCGCAACCCAGCGCTCAACCGCTGTACCACCGGGGAGGCCCCCTTCCTTTTTTTTTTTTAAAAGATTTATTTATGCATACGAGAGCTGGGGTACAGGCCAGAGATGTGGGGGGGTGGGTGAGAGGACTCGCCAGAGACAGAGTGGGGAACAGAACAGGCAGACTGACTGAAATCCACTGCTGAGGGGAGCAGCGGGGAGACAGGAGAGGTCTGCTGCACCACGTGGTTTGCTCCCTGGCTGCGGATTGCTTCATAGTGCGGTGCTTAACCCCTTGTGCCACCAGGGAGGCCCTCCCTTCCTTTTTTGAACCATGAGGGCAACAGTTTGAGCACCTCTGAGAAATGAATGAAATCTGCACTTAGCACTGGTCCTCACTTGGCGGGTGTCTCCGTGCTGGGGTGGGTGCTGCCAGCACTGATGGCCTTTTCAAGCCTGAGAACCCTTTGGTTGGGCACCTGCCTGCCTGAACGGAATCTCCAGCTAGTTAAGGTCCGTTTCTTCCATGCACGTTCCCACTGGACGGCAGCTGTTTGCATGCCAGCCACGCGTCCATCCTCGGCTTATCAAAATTGGCAAAGTAGATCCCTCAGATTTGGTCTCCGCCTTTCAGAGGCTCGGGTTACTTGCAAGATCAGATCACAGGGCTGAGCTGGGCTGGCTTGCGCTGAGCGAGCGGCCTCAGGCTGTGGGGGCACGCGAGCGCGGCGCTGCAGGCCAGCCCACCCTCTGGCTCCCGTCCTTTGTCTGCGGCGCTTCCATCTCCCCCTGCTGCTAAGCGAAGTGCTGCCCGGAAACCAAGTGAGCTAGTCAGGCAGTTCAGGCAGACCCGCAGGAACATCTAACCCTTTCCTGGTCTCCGTTTTCTTTGTGAAAGAAGGGGGGAAAGTCCAGCTTTTACAACAGTGTTTTTAGTTACCGCGGGGCTTTCACTCAATGAAATCTTACCTGGAGTATGTGAGATTTTCAGAAGTTGCTTTTTGGGGTGCGAGAGCTGCAGGCTGGCGGCCTTGCCCGGGCCCCCTCGGGCAGCCCTGCTTCCTGGGACCGACTTCTGCGGGGCAGGCGGCTTCGTGGCCGCGGGGCAGGGGAGCGTGGCCAGGCCTCCGTGTCTTCTGAAATTTGGGGCTGTGTAGGACTCGGCCCTCATCCAGCTTTTCAAGAAGTTACACTGCGTCCCTGCATTTAGACGAGGGAGATGCATTAGCTGAGCATCAGGATGTGTGAGCTGACATTCACGGTGAACGTTTTCTTTTACAGCAAGAATAATAACGACTTTAATGACCAGCAATGACCTTACAAGTAAGCAGAACGTCTTTCTTCCCATTTGCTTTGTGAATGCTGTGCCACTTGTGCCGCCTTCATTGGTGAGCTTGGGGTTTCTCAGCTCAGCTGCCTCCAGTGGACTGTAACTGCAGAGGTCAGCACCAGCATTCTGGGGCTTCCCCAGTCGCCATCACAGTGTTGAGATCTACTCCTCGTGCCTGGGGGGACGCCCCGCAGATGGCGTGCATGCCTGGCTTCGAGGGGCCTCCACTCCAGTGGAAGCGGGCAGTGGCGTCCTCCCACGTGTAACTATTGGCAAGTGCTGTGAAATGTGCTTTGGGAGAGTAGGACAGGTCAGCACCCCGGGGGACCTGACCTGTCAGGAGGGACAGGGAAGATTAACTTGGCAGAAGAATAAGATCTGGAGAAAGGAAATTTCCAGATTTTCACAAGGGGCAGCATACACGAAGGTCACAAGGCTTAACCAGGGGGCTGGAGTGGTGAGTCTAATGAGGGGGGGAAGGGGCACAGGGCCAGGGGGCCCAGAGCCTCAGACAATTCCCCAGAAGCAGCAAGAAGGCTTTTTATTTTATTTTTTAATGATTATTTATGCATACAAGAGCTGGGGTGCAGGCCAAAGGTGTGGGGTGAGAGGATTCACCAGAGACAGAGTGGGGAGTGAAACAGGTGGATCTACTGAAATCCACTGCTGAGGGGAGCAGCGGGGAGTCAGGAGAGGTCTGCTGCGCTGTGTGGGTAGCTCCCTAGCTGGGGATCGAACTCATGCTGCAGAGACTGCCAGTAGCTTCATAGTGCTGAGACTTAACCCCTTGTGCCACCGGGGAGGCCCAGGAAGGCTTTTTAAAGCAGGAGAGTGAGTGACATAATTATTTGATTCCAAGACCTTGTCTTTTTTAAAAATAGGTTAGGACGAATTTAATAATTCCTTAGGCTGAGTTTTCAACAGCCAAATCGAGCATATTAAGTTTTGGAAAATGATTATGGCAGACGGTGTCACCTATTCAGTGAGGATTAGGAATATGCCCCTGGCATGTAGACCCTTAACACCAGCTAATTATTATTTGAGAAATGTTGCTACAAAACAGTGAGATGCATTTGTTAGCAGATCCTCTGCTTGGAGAAGAGGCAAACAGTAAACAACAGAACAAGCCTACATGTTAGAAATTAAGTTTAAAAGTTTCTTTTGTCTCCAAGGTGACAGCTATTCCTGGGGGTGATCAGTGTATCTGGATAAACTTTAAAAACAGTTTATCACAAGTGTTTTATGATCACAAAGATCCTTACCTCTGCTATGCCTTACTTAATAGGAGACTATCAGTCAAATCACTGTTCAAGTTGCATCTTTTAAACACATTTTTAAAACCCTTTTTCATGGTTACCTCAATATAAAATACATTTTGATAGGAAGGCCAGTTTTTCAGGATTACCTGGACATAATGTACGATATACATCTTTGTTCAACATGGAATGGTCTGAGACATCACTGTCCTCAGGACAAAAACTGAGTAAAGGGGTTTGAAAGGCTCAGAGGTCACTCAGCATTCACAGTAAGAAGCCCTTGTCCATGATGGGAGGCCACCTGGCCAGGGCTGGCCATCACGTTGGGAACATCACCTTTCCAGAAACATCCGGAACCAAAGTTGTCAATAATTCTTACAACCCATAGTTTCTTTCATAGTTACTAAGTCTCATTTTTCTTTTTCTTTTTTTTTTGGGGGGGGGTGGGGGGACTTTAGGTTTTTATTCAGAGCAAGAGATAATTTTGTGTTATGTGAAAACAGTATTTTTTATCTGGCATTTTTAACTGCATAATTTTTCTTTCTTTCTCACTGATTTCAGTTCTTATACGTTTTGTGATCATGCTGGCTTTAAATATGTGGGTGACAGCTACAGTCCTTCGCTACCGGAAGGCCGCTGGAAAGGCCGAGTGACCCATGCGTTGTTCCTGCAGACACAGCGGGTTTCTATAAACTCAACCAAAGGCTGGGGGGAGGGGGCGGGGGGCTAAGCTAGTGGCTAAATCAAGGTTTTATAAATCCAGTCAGTTGTTCCAGAAGCTTTGAACAGAAGTCTTTTAAACTTCAGCCATTTGAACACTTGTCTACGGGTTCCCTCCCCTCCCCTCCGCCCACTTCGCGAGCTTAAGGCAGGGCCCAGGCATCTGCGGCTTTGAGCAGGCTGCCGGCTGCTGGGCGTTACCTGGGAAGCCCATTTTGAGATTACTTTGACCTCTACTCTCACGGTCATGACTACGTGCTCTCCAGAGAGTTGACTACATCAGCATTCAGGATCTTTTAAGGAATAAGTCCTCTGTGCAGCACAAATGAACATAAATGGAGTGAAATTTTGCTCCAAGTCACAAGAGTATCTAATAAATTACTACGGCTCATTGGGATGTTTGGGGTAACCTTACTGTATGGAACGCAGCCTCCTCAGGCTGGCGAGACCACCCGGGCAAGCAAAAATGAAATTGACTCGTCCTTCTACCACCAGTCCTTTACCTTTATACTGTGTCTTTAAGGAGTTCCTAATAAAAGGTACTCTCAGCTGTGATCTCGACTTAGGATCGCCAATCCCGGGGTACTTCCTGAGGCAGGCACGATGCCCCCCTTCTGAAAAGGAGCACCCTCTACAATAACCATTGTTGGAATCTGGAACAAAATACTGCTGACCTTGACTACTAAAAACATATGCAGTAAGGGGTATTGCTAGGTTCTGCCAACTACTTAGATTTTTACTATAGAATCTTACCCTAAACATGTTAAGATTATTGTGTACTGTCTTCCCCTGTTGTTTATAAACCCAACAAAACTTTCTTTTCATAAACTCAAACTTTTTTCCATTCTAATCAATGGTATTATCATATGCAGTAAATGATGCTTGTAGAAAGTGTTTCCTATGCAAAATAAATTTTCAAATTTTGAACTCTGCTGAGTCTTCGCATTGTCAGTTGCCTATGAGTAGTTTGAAGTTATGTAAAGTACAGCTTTTAAATGCCAATCTGGGCCTAATCCTGTTAGAACTACCGCTTGGGACTAGCTGGAAGAGAAACATGTTATCTAAAAGCAAGTTTTGTAGTTTTAAAAATCAGTTATTTTTAAAAAGCTCAAGCTTTTCTCATATACAATTACAGTGTGCCCATTAGCACGAATACAAATTAAGGTGACTTAGTCCGACAAATATTTTCAGATAATACTTTTTAAATTATTAAGTACTTTATCATTGCTTAAAGCAACTCTTGAGAATATACTTAGTTGAACTTTCCTCCTCCATTTTTATTTTGGTGGGAGGGGAACAAATACATGAGCTATTCCAGATATTCTATACACATTATCATACTTAATCCCACAATAATCCTATAAGTAATCTGCTCTTTGGAGATGAAAACACAGCCTCTGGGGTGAATTATGTGCCACAGATCAAGAGGGTTAATGAAATGCTTTCTGCAAAACACCATCAGCACACTATTCCTGTCACAATGGGCACCCTTACTTTTTTTTTTTTTAAGATTTACTTATACATTCCAGAACTGGGGTACAGGCCAGAGGTGTAGGGGATGAGGATTCACCAGAGAAAAGAGTGGGGAGCAGAACAGACAGATTGACTGAAACACACTGCTGAGGGGAGCAGCGGGCGAGACAGAAGTCTGCTGCGCCACGTGGGTAGCTCCCTGGCTGGGGATCGAACTCATGCTGCAGTGGCTGCCAATAGCTTCATAGGTTGTGTCTCAACCCCCCATGCCACCGGGGAGGCCCTGTCTTCTTACTCTTGACCCTCAAATGAGATTGCTAGGTTTACATACCCCTTAAAATGTCTAGGTCAAATCAGACCGACTCCTGGTTGAAATCTTGCATTTCTCAATAATGGACAGGGCCGAGGATTCACAAGCCTGTAACCTTAATTATGACACGTTTGCCAAACCCACTTTTCACAGAAGGCAAATTTTGGGGGGCAAAGTTTAGAAGGTTTTAGCATTCCCAGACTATTTACAGGAAAATATTAAAAGGCTGTGTCTTGATTTTATTTTTTTAATAAAAAGCAGGCATAAAATACATTACATTACTATCGAGATGCAACAAAATCAAGGGGGTACGATTTTTGTTCAAAGGGGACAGTTGATCCAATGTTTATGATTATCTAAGTCATGCAAGTTCATAACTTATCACAATTCCAAACAGAACTCATGATGGGGAAGGAAATCAAGGCGAGGCCCCCCAACATAACATTCAGCACCGGCAAACAGTGCTCATCTTCAAAGTGCTTTAGAGATCAACTATGGTGTCTTCACAACACAGGCAGACTGCAGCCTTGTTCCAGGGAGCAGAGAGTCAGCAGCAGTGTCAGCACCGCCCAGAGCTCAGCAGTGACTGGCTCTCCCGGGGTGTAAACGTGTCATTTAAAGCACGTTTCCACATGGTAACACAGTGTCCGAGGTACTGTTTCCCACCAGAATCCTGTAAGCAGGTTATCAACAGCAGCACGACCTCTTCAGCTGTGGTTTGGCAACCTAGAGTTTCTCTTCCTGAGGATAAACCAATGCACGGGTGATCCTTCAGAGCCAGATCTGTCTAACTCTAGCAGAGGCCAGTTTTAAAAAGACTGACCTTTAGATTTATTGGTATACTTTAGTTAGCTACAGCATTTTAAACTTTCAGATAGATTTTTTTATTTTAACTCTTACTTCTAGGTAACACTTGAAAAAATAATACTTTTAAATAAAACTCATGAATTTTCAACAGTAATTCCGGCACCAGTATCCCACTTCTGTCTCACTATCCCCACAAAATTAAAGTAAAACATCCAACTAAGAAAACTCACTCTTAGTTTTCAATAGGAGGTATTTATGGCGCTAGGAGAAGTCAGGTGTGAGGAAGTAAGTGACTTTCAGTCTTAGTAGTTATCTTGGAAGCTTTGGAGCCTCAAGAAAGAGAAAGCTGGCACAAAACAGGCTGTTAAACCAAGTCAATATTGTATTTAATGAGTGTTGGGGAGAACATCTGGTGCATGCACTCACGTACATGAAACCAGGAATAGGGTAAAAAGCAAATTCTTGCCCACGGTCAAAATTTTTTATTAAGCACATTTCCACTAGTGGGACAAATAACCTTATTGTAAATCCCTATGTCAAACCATATAATGGGAAGAATCTCCATGGGAGAGATTTTTTTCACCCCTTAGAATATCTTTCCCCCCAAAAAAACTTCATGTTAATTTTCTTTGTATAGTTGCATCACACCATGATTCTCCATATTCTCTGATATATATACAGCTTTCAAAATTTAAACTTTTGCCCTTTTTACTCAAATATTTCAATTACTCATTTGTAAACTTCAAATTATTTCATCTTAATAAAGTTTATTAAAAATATATATATATATATACTCTCCAATTCAGAATGACCCTCCCATAGTGTAACAAAATCTTTATATAAAATATTCAGTCTTCTTTTAACAATTCTAATGAATGGAAATATTTATTCTATATAAATTTATATATTTTTCATCTTCTTTAAAAAAAAAAAAGCTGCGCCCCCAAACCAGAACTGCGGAACACACCCGCGAGGGAAGTGGCTTGGGCACCTGGCTTAGCACAGCCCGCAAGAAGGGCGCAGACAACCACACGAGAGGACAGGATTCTTTTCCAGTACATCAGCTGAGCAAAGGCCTCTCCTCAATTTCCACAATAGATTCTCTAATTGGGGATCTACCCTTTAAACATCTCTACTCTATGAGTCCATAGAATCAATGAAAAACATCTACTTCCTTCATTGAAATATCAGACATTTCAGTATCACATCAAACTGTGTGTGTATATAGACTGATAAAAGACTACATAATTTTAACTTGATGCTGATCACTGATGCACACTCTGGCAGTATAAAACAAACTTTCTCAGGATAATGAGAAATAAGCAACAACAGTTCTGCTTCTAAATTTAACAGCATTTTAAAAATACAATTGGTAGGGACCATAATGTAGCATGTACAGGTGCTGATTGATAACGCTGCACACTCCAATTCAGCACAAATTAAAAACATCATGTTAAGTGCCTTTGAGTCAATTCTTCCCAATCACCAGTTTTCTTAGCCCAATAATGAAATATTGCCAGACCACAGTTGTGTTTAAGGGATTCCATTTAAATATTTAAAATGTATCTACGGTATTTCTTTTCTTTAGAGTTGAGATAATTTTTAAATCTTGAATGTGAAAAATGTTTTAAAAAGTCACAATGTCTTTATGAGAAATGAAAACACATCTAGGGTAGCCAGCAAATTCGAAGCAAAGAAAATGTTTCATAGTCACACACTAATACTGAGGTCTGTAAAAAGGGCTGGAGGAATAATATAGATATACATAAAAGATATATTAGTTCCAATACTATCCATTATTGTTTCTATCACCAACACTTACAAAAAAAATCAAAATAGGCTGACATAGATAAGTCTTATGTGTAAAAATAGTGCACTATTTTTCTTCCGCAAAGCAAATTTGTATTCTAAGCACTGGTAAATACCTGTGTGTGTTTTTTCCCCTTAAATACAGAAAAGGGTTGAGAATTAGATAGGAAAAAAAAATTAAATTAAGGCATTCAAAATGGTTAAAGTTGCCTATCACGAAGCATTAGGAAACTGATTTAATTCTTGTTTCAGTAACTGCTTAAACATGAACATGCAGTGTCCATCATGGATGGACGTACAAACCCCAAGGTGATGGCTTTATACAAGTGCATAGCTGCAACTGCAGTAAGTAATGGTATCTGATTAATGTGTATAAAAAAATAAAGTGGGACATTTAAAAAACCCTCTTGTACTATAGATATATGTATGTGCACATGTGTATCTATATACACATATATACACACACACACAGTTTAATGGTCACTTCTTAAAGAGGCAGTTTGTATCACTGTAGTGGAATCCATTCCCAGATTCTTCTGGTAAATGTGCTGGTGAAATCTCTCTGTTGAAGTTGAAAAGCTGATTTTAACTCTTCTTAGTCCATTTGAGCAATGTAGTGTGAGTGACTGTGTCAAGAGAGCTTTATGGAGTAAGTTTGGAAAAGTTGCAGGTGGCATCCTTACTCTTACTAACATCACTGCTGGTTCAACTTGTTCTTCCAAGGAGTCCAGAAAATCTCTCCAAGATTTATAATTTATATTATGGGGGAAAAGGGAACATATATATATATATATATATACATACACATACATATGTATGTATGTATGTGTGTGTGTGTGTATAAGTCTCTCATGAAAATATAGCTTTTCAATAAATCTTGGGCCATCACACTTCAATCTTCTTTTTTACTGGAAGAATATGGTCACCGTGAATAATGACTGCATTCATAGAAGGCAGTTAGCTGGAAAGAAAAAACAAATAAAGTTGATAGAGTAAAGTAATTTAAGAGAGTGTTACATTCTTTGAAATGGCATTCCATTTATATCATTAAAGTATGTTGTCTTCCAACTACTGTATTTCTAACACCTATATCATGCGTAAATATATTTATGATATTCCTTTTTTTTAGGTACATGCAATTATATCCTTTCTCACATTTTCCTATATTGGCTAGAAACATGACATGCGAGTTTTAACATGGCTCACTAGCTAGTAGGGCTAGACAACTTGTCACTGAGTAACTCATGTGCGTATGAGTCTGACTCAAGGTTCAACTGCTTACCGGCCTCATGCAGCTGGAAAACTTGAAGTTTGACCTCAGTCACATTGTTTTTTAACATGTGCAAACATGTTTTGCACAAACATGTTGCACTAAATATACATAAAGTGTCTTGTAAATCCTGGTTATAAACAGATCCCAGTATTACGAAAGTTAAGTATATGTTTTACAACATGCTTGCTTAGGTTAATTAAGATAGACCATTACTGCTTTTCAATGTATTCCATGTAAAAGGTTTAAACCACGAAGCTCAACTCTCACTCAAATCTCCCCTGACCTGTATTAACCAAACTATTACATATTCTCCAAAAGCACAAGAACTTTCACAGCACATCACTGGCATTCTTCAGCAAGAGTAACAGTAAATTTTCAAAAAGCAAACATTCCATAGCATCACAAAGAAAAGTCAAATCAGAAACAGCTATTTCACAGCACTTAATTAGACTTACAAAGTTTTTATGATTTCAATTCTTGCAAGTTAGAAAGGAGAGAGGAGAAAAGGAAAGAGAATGGAGGGGAAAAGGAATCTCATGCTATGTTCACGAATTAATACAGTTGTATTGAAAACATCGTAAAATTTACTTTTTCTCTGAATATGGCGTCTTTGAAATAAACAAAAAGTGCCAGAATTAGCTTCTTTTGCCATTTGTATGTTTCATTCCCAAGATAAAAATTATAATTCCAACTGTATTAAAAATATGTAATCAATAATGAATCTGAACATGGCATTTTACTTTTCTATTTAACATGAAAATTTCAAGTTAGAAACTTTTCTGAAAACAACTTTTCAAATACATACTATTAAGAATTTTAAACTTCAAAACTAGTCAAAAATAATGAAAACCCAAGTGCAAACATCATGCACTACTTGAAATACTAAAATAACTCATTTTTCATTTTTCAATTTACCCCATTTATTTCTTCAGAAATCAAAAACATCGCCATCATCATCATCACCATCAATATCATCAAATGACCAATCCCAGTCTTTAAATCCCAAATCAAGCAATCTGCAATAGGAGGTTTGCAAATTTATACTCTATCGCCTTTGAGAAATGGCAATTTAATATGCTATGATCCAGGTATCACACTTTCAATGTGTTGTAAGCATTTAAACTATCCTTTCATCATTATATAAAGAAGGAAGCATGCAGGAAAACCTGTTTATAGATAAATGCATAAAACCATGCTGGCCACGTATGCCTTTCAGAATACCAGAGAATGAAGACAGATAATGTCTGCGAATAAGATACAATCTTATCCCCCACCCTCCAAAATCTCTCCAGTCCCTTGGTCCAGATGAAGATAAAATCATTCTGAGGGCCAGTTTGATTTGAGAACTATGAAAATTCAACATTGTTCAACATTTCCTTCACAAAAGTATCCAGACTGTCAGTTTACATTTTTCCAACAATAACGCCAAATCATTAGTAGAAAAGGGGAGTAATATCAAGAATACAGCAGGATGCTACTTGTTCCTCCATTCCAGCAGGATGCTACTAGTTCAATGAGTCACTGACAGTTACGCTCTCCATGAAAAATTAAGGACAGGAAAGCCACAGGTAAGTTAGTAGCATTAGCAATAGACTAAATAAACTGGACTTTGAACAGGTATATGTGTAATCTTTTTTTCCAATCCAATCCAATCATCTATCATAGCAATCATCTTTATTTTAAAAAATAGCAGTAACCTTCTCATTGTTCATTACTGACATTCATGAATAAACTGTGCCAAGGAACTCATCTGATCCCCAAAGCCCTATCTATGATCATAAAGTTAGTGGTTATAAAACTTCAGTGTATGATATACCCAATGCTATTTATAATGCGTATTTCCACACCCTGACACAAGAGGTTCTGAGATAATTGGAATGGAGTTGGGGGAGAAGTGGTTGGCTTTGAGAATCACTGACAATGGTAAACAAACCAATAAAAATTACACTATTTCAAAATTTACTGAATGTAGAAAAAGACTTGAGAAAACATACAAACTTAGATACCATTATTTACTTAATGTATGTCACAAGCTAGTGTACATTCACTTTTCCAGGCTTTCACATAAAGGAACTTTTAGCTATGGTTTCAGCTCTACTGCTTGGGAGACGGAAATCAGTATGCCCTCTAGGGTGTCCATCTAGGCTCTAATATTTGCATGATTTATGAAAAAAATCTGCATTATATAGCCTACCAAAACCCTTGAAGTGTGTGCCAGTGTCACAATCTTCAAATTTAAAAGTCTAATCACTAAGCTATTGGAGCAATATATGACCTTATTTCTCTTAAAACCTCTCCCTTAGCTCCTTCCAATCAATCACCTAATTCTTATCACTTCAAGAATTCTAAGAAATCATCTTTACCTACTTTCACTGTCAGCACTTTAGTTCAGGATCTCATTAAATCGAAACATACCAAGCTCTTCTTAAAGGACATCTATTTGTAGAAGCAAAGCCAAACTCCTTGGCATAGTGTACATGGTCCTTTTCAATCTGGCTCAAAGCTTTTTTTCCAGTGTCACCTCTACCTTGTGCCCTGTCATAACCCTTTCCTTACCCTACCCCAACATAGCATTATAAACAACTAAATAGTTCTGATAACAGTACCTCTACAAACACTGCCCTCAATTGTCTTTTCCTTTACTTTTTTGCCTGGAGAACTACTGACCTTCCATTTTTGGAAACTTCTTGATGCCTTCAGGCAGAAACACTTCAGAAACTGAGTTCCAGGAGTGTATATGGAAGTGCCCATTTTACACTTCACTAATACCAAGAGTTTTTTAATCCTTATCAGTTTGCAGGTGAAAATGGTTATTACTGCTTTAATTTCTTTGCTTAATAATCAGGTTGATCACTCTCCATATTTACAATATGTGTGGTGATACCTACATGTTCCTCACAAATGTTTATACTGGGAAGAGGAAAACTTCTGTTTCTTAATGATTTATAAGAACTCTACATACAAATATATTGGCCCATCTTTCTCATATATATTGCTAATATATGGAGTTTTTAAAATCAGAAGGCTTTAATGTTTCAGTTGTCTGCATATTCACCTATTTTCTTTTACTTCGTTTGTGGATTTATATTTTAACATTTTAAGTGTACATAACTTATTTTTTCTTAAATAATGTGTTATATTTCTAACACCTACAAATGAAAAAGAACAAAAGATAAGATGACAACATAATAGTTCTCCACACCCTTAAGTTTTGACTGCATTGGCAACGCTTTATTTCTTAAAACTAGGTAAATAAGCATTTAGGGCTTTATACTTTCTGTAGGACTTAAATATTGCATTTAAAAAAAAAAAAAAATCTTGAAAAGGAAAATAGTCAAAGTGAAGTGCTCCCAGCAGAGATCAGTATTTTATGTCTTTCAGTGGAACAAGTTAGGGTCTCTCCAAACTGTCTTCTTCAAAATCACAGTATTATTCATAATTTTCTACTTTTCCACCATAGTATTTTAATTGTAATTAAATTTACTAAGAAAACATTTCTCTAGAGTAGCATTTCTACATATTATATGACATAAATTGTTGATTATGCACATTCCTACTCATCTTGCTGTAAGGCAGCAGAGCGTCAGAGTGGAGATGCAGGCCGGAATCAGACTATCTGTGTCTGAACTCACGGCCCTGCTGGTCACTAGCCATGTTACCTTGGCATAGAGTGTTTCTGTGCCTTCATCTCCTCATCTGCTAAATGGAGACACTAAGCAAATATATAAGAAGTTAAATAAGAAAACAGAATATATATGTAAAAACCCTGAAAGTTGAAAAACACTTTCTACTGTAAGGTATTATAACAGCATGGCATTTCTCTATAGTGAGTGCTATCTTATTATTAATAGAAATCTACTTTTGAGATTTACACACAGAACGTACCTCAATGTTTCTGAAACTCTTTTGAGTTTTTTTCAGCTTAATGCCTATCATATAGATCACTAATTTTACAATATTTAGTTTTATCATACCTCACACAAAAATTCAGCAGAAACACCAATTCTACTTTTGTCATTCTAAATTATTTCCTTGACATACACTTTCAAGAAAAGTTTCATCTGAGATGTTTGTGGTTACAATGACAATGTTTCTGATAATACAGCCAATGCACATCATTATTCATATCCTTGAAGGGCCTAAGTTAAGGAACAACAAAAAAAAAAAATACCTGAAATCACACACCTAATCTAAGTATAAACCTTTTCCTTTAGCTCACCAAATCTCATGTTCATTTCAATGAACAGCAATATTGACCAATTCTATAATATCTGGTAAGCCAAGAAAAGGTTATTCTAAGCCAAGATATTTAAAATTACTATGAAAATGGTATCAAAATTTTCTGAATTTTATGAAAATGGCTCCATCGAAATATTTTTTTACTCATTACATAATGATCATCTCTCAACTGAATCCATATTCCCAGCTCTACCTCAATTACAAGGAACACTCACTTTACCCTTTTGTTAATATCTGCATATTAAAAGGCATTCTATAATCCTCCTTAAATTAGAAACATGCTATTATTCTTAAACTTACAGATATGAATTAAGACTTAAGAAAATGGGGGTCTCCCCGGTGGCGCAGCGGTTGAGCGCTGGGTTGCGAAGCTGCCTGCAGCCTCTGCAGCCGGTTCGATCCCCGGCTGCTCCCCGGCCATCGGAGGAGGGTCCCACATGGCGTGCAGACCTCTCCTGCCGCCCGCTGCTCCCCTCAGCAGTGTACCTCGGTCCCTCTGCCTGCTCTGCTCCCCACTCTGGCTCTGGTGAATTCTCTCACCCTCCCACGCTTCTGACTGTACCCAGTGCATGTATAAACCAAACAAACAAATAATAAATAAATAAATAAATAAATAAATAAGACATGCCTCTAGAAAAATTAAAAAAAAAAAAAAAAAAAGACTTAAGAAAATGTCTCTCCTATCTCCTAAGCTGTCTGATGCAATATTAAACACCATGTGTGTGCTGGCACCTAAAGGTCTATGTGCATCCCATCTACCTAAATCACCGAATTAGTCAAAAGTGCTTATAAAATCTCAAAACAGTATGACTATATGCATTAATGTGATAAAAATGGGCTCTTTATACATTTCTGGTTAAAGTAAGTTAGTATATGTGATTCAGAAAATAAATTTCCATTACAGTCACCTGAAACAATAAGTACACTAAAATACTTTCAAACATTTGCTATTGCACAGTTCATTAAACTACCAAGCAAAAGAAAACTGTCATTAAGAAAATCTGTAGTATGAAGATACACACACACATACATACAGTTTTTTAAATCTCACTTTTTACCAGGTGTTTCTCAATTACCTTGGTTTGTTAGGGGCAAGTTGTCGACTTGGCCGTCTCATAGACTGGTTTTGCTGTATCTTCATTGAAGTTCTAGGAGATGACCGTGCAAAAGGGTCTGGAGCAGGAGGCTTCTTAGGTATCTTTTTCACCAACCGACTAACCCACTTCTGCTGCTCTTCTGTAGAATTTGCTAATAATAATAGATTCTTTGCCGTTGAAATATCATAATACACTATAAAGAAATATTTGGAAAATATTAATGTGTTTAAAATTATCTGAACATAAACACTGATGGAGCAAGTAATTTACTATTTACCTTTGCAAGGTGCTATAATCTCCTCCTTTTTATCCATGTGATCTTTGTGACATTTGATGTGGCAGCGGCGGCACTCTAAAGCAGGAGGAGGTTTAAACATATGCCACAATGGCTTCATACAAGCCTCACAGTTGGTTGGGAAATGATAGAGAGTAGGAATAAATTCATGTCCTTTGTGGCATATATAATTTGATTTTTCTCCCACTGGCTCCACTGGAAATTCTTGTTCCTTCTTACTTTCTCCTTCATTGGCATACAGAATCTTTGAATACCAAGAACAATGAATAATTTCCAAACACATGATTTTTTAAAGTAGTAACAATTTTTAAACAAAATGAAATAAACCTAAATTACTGAATGAGAAATGTATTTGATATTTAAACTTAAGTAGGTTCCACCTAGTTAGGTGTTTATGTGAAATAAACCTCTAGATAGACTTTGGTTCACATTTCCCCATCTCACCTGAAGAGATATGGCAATGAAAAGAACCAATACTTTATGATTCTCAAAAGCAGACAACGGGGTGACAACTGTGACAACTGCAAACACACTCTAATTGAGGAGATCTGTATTTGGAGAGTTGAGGAAGAGAGGAAAAGCAGCACACCAGATGGGCACTGCAAGTACAGAACACAAGGGGCCCAGTATCCCACAGGACGCCAAGCACAGTGGATTTCATGCATAAGGAACTCAGTAACTGATTGTTGTCTGACTCATTTTTAAATGAAAGTAGCAATGGGAAGAATTTGTTACCACTTTGTATTGGAAGGACTACTGGGTGCAAAAGTTAATTTCACCAGCAACCTTTTTAACTCTCTTGAGAGCTAAGCGTTAACAAAAGAAAACCCAAGAAAGTTCATGCTTTAAAAATATAACCAATCTTGAATAAAAGGCCAAAAAAGTGATATAAACATAACACAGACTTTAACAAGCAGTAATCTAGAGAAAGGAATGAAGATATATTCAATGAATATATGTATGAAAATCACAAAAGAATGAACCATCTTTAAATGAGACAGAAATTAAAGTGCAATCTGAAGAAAGCCCCAAGATAACAAAATTTGATGTGCCAATACTGAGAAACTTATGGTGAAAAAACAAAACCAAACCAACCAGCCACAAAATAAAAACTATGATTACCTGGAATATCCTGGGAATTTCTCTAACATCTGCTCTATATACATCTGTCTGTGTAACTGGTCGGACATGAAATAACTTGCTGTGAAATATTTTCAATAAAGGAATAAATTATTAACAAAGGAATAAAAAATTAACAAAGGAAAAAAATTACATTAGTTATTCAATGTTTATGTAGAAAGTTAAAATTGACTACTTTGACCTATTGTCAGAAGAGTATCTTACTTATTAAATCAATTATCCCTTGAGATTTTGAGAAATTTATGTAAGTCAGAAATTTCCTAATTAGTTTTAGAAAACAACATATTAAAGACCCATGAAATATAGATGTTTTAGCTGACTTTCAATCCTAGACGTACAACTTGAATATAAGAAAATATAAGTAGGCGCTAACCTACACAAGTATACACATATACAATTCATAAATTGTATTAACATAAAAGGTCACATTATAGTCTTATACTTATAAAACTGAAGTTTCTAAATATTCTAATAAAAACACTTACTCTATATCTAAAACCATGTAAGGATTAGATTGTTCTTTATCTTGTTCGCTGTCATAAAAAAGAATCTTCTTACTGCTTACAATCACATACTGTTAAAAAGAGGGAGAGAACAAAGATTGAAGTTAATATCTTATTTTCTCTGAAAATAAATTCTGTATTAGCAATAAAAGCCATATAAAACACCCAAGGTAAACAGCTAAAATGTTCTTAGTGTATCTTTAGAAAAGTCTTCCTTAAAATAGGAAGTTTTGTTTGTATGTCTTTTAAAAAAGCAAACTGGAGAGGAAGTGAAGTCTAGTGTTTTTGGACTGATTTAGTTTCAAGGCACAACAGCCTATGTAGGAAATCTTACTGCTATGGCTTGAGGGTTTGTGTTCCCCCAAAATTCATGTTACCTCCTAACACCTAGAGGAGGTGACTGGGTCATGAGAGTAGCATCCTCACTGAAAGGGAGTGGTGCCCTTAGAATACAGGTCCCAGACAGAGCCTCAGCAAGCAAGGACAAATGAGCAGTGAGAAGTCTGCAGAAGAGGGCCTGCAGCAGAACCCAATCATGCTGACATTGAACTTTCAGTCTCAGAAGTGTGAGCAACACATTATTTGCTGTTCACAAGCTACCCATTCTGTGTTATTTTATTAGACGGTCAGAATAGACTAAGATATCTATCCAAAATGAATATAGTAACATCAATAATCAGCATAACAGAGGAAAAGAAATAAATGATCTTTCTTTCTGTCAAATCCAGAGTTGTTTTCCCAATGAAAGAGGTAAAGAACCAAGGTCAACAGGGTACTATTTTCCTAACACCAAACATACTTTATTAACATGTTAATAACAAAAAGGGTTTTCTATAAATACATAAAGTCACATCGTCTTGTGTGTCTAAAAGTTGTATCTATTTCCACCATAAAAGTGAAATGCCTGTAGGCAAACCAAAAGTAAAAGCAGTACCAATTACCTTTTTAACCCATCCAAATTTCTTAGTGTTGTTTCGCACAGGCAATGAAAGCCATCCTTCTAGTCTTGATTCTATAAATAAACAAGAGATACGAGGATAAATAACAATTCTCCTAAGAAAATGTGAAACTTAATAAAATTTTAATACAAAAGACACAAATCAAGTATGTCCTTCAGAATATATCATTATACATTATCTAGAATAGAATGCAGGATCAGTATAAGCAAATTATGCAACACAAAACAAAATCTAGGTTATATCATATTGGACATATATTTAATAGTTTCATAAAGTCAAATACTTTGCTGATTAAATTCATGCACTTGCAAAGGTCAGCAGAAAAGCTGCCAAAAAGGTAGTAAGTCTCTATTCTCACTGATACACCTGCATTAGAATCCTTTATTTTTCCCTTGGGAGAAGAAGAAAGCCTTAACTATTTACTGCACATCTCAAAGAGAATACATTTTAAGTGAATGTGTTCAGAGAAAATTAGCTTTTAAAATGACTACATGTAAACGAAATAAAATTACCTGTTATAGATCAAATTTGGCCAATGAGTAGCAATAAAACAAAAAGATTTTAACTCCAAAATATCACTATCTATAGCATACTATTTCAGCAAAGGACTCTGATTAAATATTTAGAATTTGTTCTAATGGCATTTGATCAGTATCTTTTAAAAATAATCACTTATTTAACATCTACTATGTGTCTGACCTGTTAGAGATGCTTTACATAAATATTCTTTAATTCTCACAACTCGACAAAATAGTCACACAGGGGCATGTCTCTGACTCGTTGCCCACATTCTCGTTCATATCAACAACCTTCCATGACAGGTTGTTGACAACAAAAACTCTATGAGACATATGTTCTGCCTGGCATTATGAACAGAAATGCTGCCATTAACAACAGCCCACAGACAACAGTCGTACATGCTCTTACAGCAATTTAAGAGACAAAATCATGACCTCTAACATTACAGATGAAACTGAGTAATTTTACTGCCAAGATCTAAAACAAGGGGCCTCCCTGGTGGCGCAGGGGTTAAAGTCTCAGTGCTATCAATCTATCTATCACCAGCCACAGCAGCCCGAGTTCAATCCAGGGCCAGGGAGCTACCCACATGGCACTGCAGACCGCTCCTGACTCGCCTGCTGCTCCCCTCAGCAGTGCATTTCAGTCAATCTTCCTGTTCTGCTCCCCACTCTGTCTCTGATGAATCCTCTTATCCCTCACACCTCTGGCCTGTACTCCAATTCTTATATGCATAAATAAATAAATCTTAAAAGAAAAATGTAACTACAGCTATTTTACTTTTAATTCAACTAATAAGAACATTTTACCCTATATTCAACTGCTCATATGCTAATTTCCTGCAACTTTTAAGTGTTTTTGATATTTACTAATAAGCACAATAATTTCACATGTTTTCTAACTGGTTTCTTTTAGGGCAAGAAGCAGGTCAAGTTGAATTGTCCTCTCTTTTAATGCTTAGCACAACATTCACCAGATAAGCAAGTACTCACTGAAAACCTAAACACAACATCTAGAACAGTCTCAGTGCTTTTACCACACTAGTAATCTTAGTGTGAAACTTCAGGAAGAATGTCTTCTTGGTTGAAAATGGATGAAACAGGCAATGAAATCACATGTGCTCTTAAACAACAGAAAGTACCGCTCCATTTCTTGTAAGTTGACAAAATCTATCAATTTTACTAGCAATGCCATGGATAAATACCTTAAAAAATAGTTCATGCAGTAGTTTCTTCTTAACCAAGACAAAAGCAACTTACTAGAGTTAGTGAGTATTAGTTTACATTACAAAACTTTTTCAAAAGGACTTAAATTAAAGGTAGTGGGAAAAACCCCAAAGTTGAAAGATTTTCAGGATATCACCTGTACCATTAGGTTCCGATGAAATGGGTAAGTAAGGCAAGAATTCTTCTTCTGAGTCAGAATCAGAGTCAAGCATATGAGAACTGGAAGGCTTAGTGGCAATATTGAGAGAAGTAGAGGAACGTTGGTAGGTGAATGACATAGATTCCATAGTGTGTGACTGAGTGATATGAACTAAACACCCAACACAGAAGGAAGTAAGAATGTAGAAAGTTAAGAGAAAATAACTTAAAAGAGAGCTACCTGTAATACATAAAAAATTCATTTAAATATTTTTTAATGAAAAATTTTGTCAAAAATCAATAAATTTAACTTGTAGTTTGAACCCCCTCCAAGGAGCAGATTCTCAAGATGACAAACATTTTTCCTCAATAGCAAAGTTGATTACAAGGCTTAAAACTGTCAACTGACATATTTTAAAAAGACTTTTAATAAAAATAAACAGAAGGGCAAAGACGAAATCTTACCTGGAAAGCCATCGTCTGCCTCGGCATCCCCCGGCCCACTGCCTATACTGGAACTGTCCATACCAATGTGCAAGGCCTGGAGCTGTGACCGCAGCTGCTCAATGTCACTGTCTTTACTGTCCAGTGTCATTTGCAGTTCAATTCGAATCTGGCTCTCTTCAGCTATTTGCTACAAGAAATTAAATTACAGTAAATTAATGTGATGCCATATATCTCACAATTTTGATTCTTAGTGCAATAATAATTACTAATAGAAATGTTCTATAACCAATAAAATGCAAATAAAAATAATTCTACTTCATAAAAAGAAATTTTCAATCTAGAATCCAAAAAATATTCTTACAGCCTGCATTTCATTCAGTTCCTTCTGATACTTGATCATCTGCTGGGTGAATTTTTCACGTTCAGATTTAAGCTCCATATGTAGCTTTCTATTCTCCTTCTCTTTTCTCCGCACATCTGTGTCACTACCACGCTTGACAGGCTCTTTGCGGTTCATGATCTCAGCCAACTTATTCACAGCCTTAAAAACATAAAAATAAGTATGTTGACAGTTTCTCAGTAACTTGCCAATGGCAAGATATACAAACACTAATCTTCTTCTTCCATATATACAGGACCACAAAGAAACAATTTCTGTATTAAATAATATGCCTCCTTCATTACTAATTATCATTCTTTGACCTATATTCTATTAGTTTTTTACCCTCAAGTTTTCTCACAACTCTAATTTAAAATGTCCACAGGTTAAATCTACCACTCAGTGTTTTTAGTTTCGAGAGACATTTTTAGGCAGATCTTTTTTTATCCTGGAAAATAAGACTTTCGCATTTGGAATCACATTAATATAATACAACATTCCAACAAGAGAGAAGAGCAAGGCCTTCTGCTGGGAGTACAGCCACAAGCGATGGCAGAATGACGGGCCAGTGTCACAAGTGCCTCTTCACACTGACCGATTTTTAGGCTGTCAGCAAAGGATCATTTGCTACAGTTTCTTAAAAGCAGAGAAACTTCAGATTACAATTAAAAAAAAAAAAAAAAACAAAGGTAGGGATGTGTTTCTATATGGGAAAATTAAGAAAAACATTGAAATGGCCAATGTCAAGCAAATCTAGCTTCTCTCAATTAAGAATCAGGCATGTTCTATTCACAAATATTGACATTCAATACTTACTTCCATTCATCTCTAATGCTAGCAATAAAATGTAAAAAAGATATACTAAAAAAATTCAAATTCATATTTAGAGTTCATTATACATACTTGAGTTTTGAGTGTTCTCTCTGTTAACAGTTGCTTCTCAAATTGTGCTTTAATAGCTGTTGCACTTATCTCTTCATCTTTCAACCTTGATAGTTCTAAAATACCGAAAATGTAAAAATTATATTGATAACTACAACTGACCGATATTAAGTATATTAAAAATAAGCTGTATTCGTTAATACATACGTTCTTGGGCATCTTTTAATTTGTTATTTAATTCTTCTTTTTCATTTGCAAGATTGGCAACATCACTAGTTAGTGTTCTATTGGTTTCTTCAAGCTAACAAATAAAAGAGGAAAAACAAATCACATCCCCAACTTATAAAACTTAAGTTATAAGGCAATTAACTAAAACAAAAATATTCTAGAATGTTGATAAAACTGCTGTTTTCTAAGTATACACATTTCTAAACGTTTGCCTTTGAGCTACCCGCCCAACTTGATTCTTGATGAAAATTTTGCTAACCTTAAGACTTCATATGCACTCCAGAAAGTAAAAACATTGCCCTTCTCCCCAAAATCTTGTTTTAAATGAGAAAAATGTTTAATAAACAACAGTAAAAGGAAACGCTGTAACAAAGGTCTGCATTCCATCATGGAGAATAAACAAATTTTAAAACTATAGTATTTCTTTTGGAATATTGATTAAATATAGAAAATAGAAACTGTATTCTCACCAATCCTATCCCTACTCTTCCTTCCTGAAGGAAATTTTATTATGAATTATGTGTTCATCCATCCATGATTACATACTTTTATTACATATATCTGAAATAATACAGCATGGTTTTATGTAATTTTAATTGTCCATAAACAGCATCATACGGTATCTTTCTGCAAGTGCTTTCCCTTGACATCACATACACATACATAAAAGAACTGCTTATATATATATGAATAAGTAGTTCATTTTAATTGATACAGTAATTCCATCTTCTGCCACATTTATCTATTCATTCATCTGTTGATAAAACATTTACATCTTTGCTATTAAAATATTTACACTATGAGTACAGTGCCTTAATTTCTCTAGCATATTTATCTTAATATGGACCTTCTTTGGATTATATGAATATTTTCAATTTACTAGAAATTTTTGCCATGTTATTTACCATATTATGCCATACTAAAACTACATTTTCCATAGTAGTAAACAAGAATGTCATTTTCCAGACATCCTTCAAACACTTCAGATTGTAAGACCCTGAATTTCTGTCAATGTGATCAGCACGAAACGGTATTTAACGAGCAGTAAAGATAAGCATTTGGTTACATTTTTAGGTTTTCTCTTTCGGTCAATTTTCTTCTAAATTATTTAATTTTTTTTTTCTTACTGAATTGTAGGAGTTCCACATATATTCTGGACACTAATCCCTTGTTTATAATAAACATAAATATCTCCCCGGTCATTTATTTGTTATCTCTTGTTATACCTAAGTTTCAGAATCTGTTCTAATTATTTTAAATTTCTATTTTTCTTACTTAAGAATTTATTTTTGCATTTGGTATAAGGGCCTAATTTTATTTCTTTCACATAAAAAGTTAATCCAAATTATATTCATTTCACACAGAATTTTATTAGTTATTATAGTTATTCCAAATGATATATCCACTCAGTATCTGTACCCTTTCACACTGGTTTGTATATTGCTTCCTCTATTGAATGCCAAGTTCCTGCAGGTACGTGAATCATTTCCACTGCACAGGATTAACTAACTCTATTGCAATACCACACTTTCTAAGTTATATCTTAAAGCATTTTAACAAATCATGGTAACTATCTGTTATCCAGATTTAAAAAACAAAATCCTTTCTGCAATTTTCTTTCAACCTGCATGACTATCTTAGTGGTAATTTCAAAATTCTTTTTTTTTTTTAAGATTTATTTATTTATGCATACAAGAACTGGGGTACAGGCCAGAAGTGGGGGGGGATGAGAGGATTCATCAGAGGCAGAATGGGGAAAAGAACAGGTGGAATGACTGAAATACACTGCTGAGGGGAGCAGCAGGCAAGACAGGAGAGGTCTGCTGCACCATGTGGGTAGCTCTCTGGCTAGGGATCAAACTTGGGCTGCAGTGGCTGCGAATAGCTTCATAGGTTGCGTCAACCCCTTGGGCCACCAGGGAGGCCCTCAAAATTCTTTCGAACTAAGCTTAGTTTGACTAGAAAAAAATGCCTTTGACTGTTTTCTACCTTTTGGTATTTCCCTTTCATTTTAGTTCTTTAACTCTGAATTTACCAAGAGGTGACATCATTGGAAGTAGTCCTTTTTTGAGCCTCTTCCTGTCAAACACTTAAAAAGTTGATGTTAGGTGGATCAAAAAATCTTATAAGCAGGATATACAATTTTCCACTTAGATATATGTCACTTTGCTAGGGCTTCTAATGAAGAATTTAACACAATCATTAGGGAACCAAGAATTCTACTTACAGATGCGATTGTAGCATCCTTCTCTGTGAGCTCCTGCTTGTGTCTGGCCATCATCTCCTTGATCTCCAGCTCTTTCATGATCTTCTCTTTTTCCAAGTCGGAATATTGCTCTTCAGCAATTGAACGAGCCAACTGCTCAGAATCAGCTTTGGTCAAGGTGATCTCTAGTTGAGCGGCCAAGGAATCCCTACATGTTAAAGATATACTAGTTTTATATCTAATTTTTCCTATGAAACCAAAGATTTTGTCTAATTTGCTTCAGCCACTTTTTTTTTCCCCACCCCTTAGCAGACACTGTCCTAGAAGCAGGGAAGCTGGCTATCTTCCCTGGTCCATACCTTTCATCCTGTAATTCCTGTTTCTTCTGCTGTAATTCTTTACAAAGTTTGTTTTTTTCTTCACATTCTTCTTTAAGTTCCTTAACCTGTGTTTTATAGAGAGTCTAGGAGCAAAATATAACACATATATTATCATTGTCATTATTATCACCAGATTATTTCTAAATCCAAAACCTATCCAGACGTAAGTCAAATTGTATACATATATATTCATAACACCAAGTAATGGCGAAGCCCTGAGAAAATTGATGAGCTTGTTTTCTTATAATCAACTGATAAACATTAATAACTTAGAAGCGTAATTTTCAACTAAATATTATAATGAGATTTCTTACTAAATGACACAGATGGATAGGATGAATAAAGAAGCAAGAAAAGTATTAATAATTTAGACAAGAAAATTTTGTTGGATTCAATGAAATAGAGGTGAAATATAGTCTCTTGCCCTGTTGTTCTTTTTGTATGAGTTGAGTGGTGTAATACATCCCATCAAAACTCTGGTGTTGTAAGAATTTATTCTAAAAACAGGAGATATTCTCCTGGTTCTGCAACAAGAATGAAAAAAAAAATCTGCAATAATTTTCAAATTAAGGTATATGGAACTTACTGAGAAGTACTGCTCTGCTTCAAGCTGATCTTGGAGCTCTTTCATTTGCCCATCTGCATCTTGACGTTCTCTGTGGGGACAGTGAATCAAAGGCTTAAATAAGTCACAAACATATTAAGGCCAGCAACTCTTAAAGAACCTTTAATTAGGTTTTGAGTATTTTACAATGAGATAATATTTGAATATCGCCTAATATTTAAAATTTTTTAAATTAGATCTCTGAGACAGACTCAAGAGAGCAAATGATTTCATCACACTATACAATTCTATTACTTAGGACTTTTATGCTTATTCCCATGTAACATAATTTGGCTGCTTCGTTTACTCACTGGCTCTTAAATTTCTGGATGAAAAGGAAGTATCACTTGAAGTCATTTATCTGTATTATTTCTGTAATTTATTATTAATGAGTATATTATTAAGAAATGATGATTCTTATTTCTGAATCAAAATAGGCAAGGAAAATATTAATAATTTAGACAAGATAATTTTGTTGGTTTCAATGAAATAGAGGTGAATTTCTGCATCTTACTGATCTCAAAAAAGTACAAATGTGGAAATGACAATTTTATTTCATTATGGAAATAAATTCTTCCTCAATAAGCGATCCTTTTTTTTTTTTAAAGATTTATTTATTTATTTATTTATACAAGCACTGAGTACAGTCAGAAGCACGGGAGGGTGAGAGAATTCACCAAAGACAGAGCGGGGAACAGAACAGGCAGAGTGATGAAATACACTGCTGAGGGGAGCAGCAGGCACAGCAGGAGAGGTCTGTCATGCATTGTGGGACCCTCGCCAGCAGTCAGGGATCGAACCGGCGCTGCAGAGGCTGCGGGCAGCTTCACAGCCCAATGCTCAACCGCTGTGCCACCAGGGGAGGCCCCCTCCCCCTGCTTTTTTTAAGCAATGATTTTAATCAATTTCAGAGGGAATGGGGTATGAACTCAGAACTATTTCTCTAGCAATAATAATGAATTTCTGTTCATTTAGTCTCTTGTCCCATTGCTCTTTTTGTTTGAGTTGAATGGTGTAATATATCCTATCAAAACTCTATCTGGTGTTATAAGAACCTATGTGACTGAGAGCATAGGAAAGGTCAAGTTTTCAATTATCACCAGGTAAGTCTACTTTCAGCAAAGCCCTAGTTTTAATAGTATGATCTTGAAAAGCAATGTGACTTTAAAAACCTGACATTTACTAGGTATTTAAGAGAAGTATTTTTCAATAAGCAATCACCTAATATATATGTGTTTACAAAGAAGTACAGAAGAGCACAGAAGTTATGATGAAAGGTCTCCAACCTCTAACTCTAATCCATTTCTAGTGGGGATTATGGCTGCAGACTAGTGGGCTAGATGCTGTGAAGGAATCACTGCTGTCCTTCACAAGAGACCTAACAAGGAAGCTAATGTTTGCATCTTTTCACTGGAATGACAAAAAGCTCAGAGAGATTAAATATTCTCCCCAGTGTTGAGCTTCTTACAAGTAGTGGAACTGCTACTAAGACCTCAAATGTCTGTCTCCAAAGTCTGTGTTCTTTCTACCCTACCACTGTCTCACCAAAATAACTGGGATCCAGTATAACCTTTGATTATGATTGCAAAGAATTATACTGCTAATGACTGAATAGAAAACATTTTAAAAGTACGTTTAAAAGTACTTTTAAAATGTTTTCTATCCCCTAAGTAAGCTAAATAGACCATAAAAGTGTATCCTAACGAAAAAACATTATAGGGTCTCCCTGGTAGTGCAAGGATTTAAGCATAGCACTATGAAGTTATCCTCAGTCTCTGAGCATGAGTTCGATCCCCATCCACGGAGCTACTCACATGGCGCAGCAGACCTCTCCTGACTTGCCCGCTGCTCTCCTCAGCAGTATATTTCAGTAGATCCACCTGTTCTGTTCCCCACTCTGTCTCTGGTGAATCCTCTCACCCCCCACACCTCTGACCTGTACCCCAGTTCTAGTATGCATAAATAAATTTTTTTAAAAAAATTATAAAATTTATATGGCACTTGTTTAGTAGTCAAACATTTGCAAGTCCTAAGGAATTAACAAAAAGTACACAGAGAATAACAGTCCTTAGGAGGAGTCTTGAAAGAGTATAGAGTAAAAATTCCATTTTCCTCTGCTCTAGCACCACACTCTATCATTGTGTGACAATAAGGTGGCAGTAGTGAGAAACCTGGGAGGAAGTAAATATAATCTTCATCTGCCTGTTCTGTTCCCCGCTCTGTCTCTGGTGAATTCTCTCACCCTCCCGCGCTTCTGACTGTACCCAGTGCTTATATAAATAAATAAATAAATCTTAAAAGAAAAGGAAAAAAAAAGAAAAGAAAAGGCCAAAAGAAAATCCCCAGAAATAAGCCAAAATTAAGATATGTGGCTAGCTGGGTACACTGATAAAACTTTGTCTCAAACAATTAACTTACTTTCGAAGTTCAGCATTCTGTTTTTCCAAGCTCATTTTCATTTCCATGAGATGATTATTCTCTTGTTTCAACTGTTTTTCTGACACTTTTAGTGTGTTAACTTGCTGAGTTTGCATCTTCAAGTCATTTTGGGTGAGGCAGCGCTTCTGAGTTTCCTGCTCTATCTTCAATGTCAAATTTCTAACCTAAAGAAATAGTATACTTGGTATATAATTACTTTGATTTTTCTTACCCATGAAGCAAATGTAATGATGTAAACAGATTTTTGCCCATACACAGTTAATTCATTTTACAGTCAAATACTTCATGAATTTTTCATGTTGCATTTTCAAAAATAAAACATGGTCTTTAAGAGAAAAATGATTTAAAACTTTTAAGGTTATGATTCATTTAGTATGTCATCCTAATTCAGTAAAGTCAACAGGCTGTAGAATTGTATTTCATCAAGAAAAAAGTTTCAATTATGAAACATTAATTGAACCTTTACAAACAAATCTAATTTACAACTCATTAAATAGTTCGTTATTATTTGGTAGTGAGCTGCACACTTACATCCTCATTTAGCGCATCCTTCTGTTTAAGGAGCTCATTCATTTTCTGCTGTGATTGCTTGAGGTCGCAGTCTAGTATAGAGCATCTTTTCTCAGCTTCCAGCAACAGGTTCTCCACTTTCTGTTTTAAAGTCCTTTCCTCCAGGAGCTTTTTCTCCATTTCTATAGCCACAAAATGGACAAATCATGAAACAAAAGAAACATATCAAATATATGACAGTGTTAATAAAAAGTATGGTAAATAATGCTGCCTTAAAAATACTTTCACTGGGCCTCCCCGGTGGCGCAGTGGGTTGAACGCAGCTCTGTGAAGCTGTCCGCAGCCTCCATGGCACAGGTTCAATTCCCGGCCAGCCAGGGAGATTCCCACATGGCGAGGCAGACCTCTCCTGTCTCGCCTGCTGCTCCCCTCAGCAGTGTATTTCAGTCCTTCTGCCTGTTCTCCTCCCTGCTCTGTCTCTGGTGGATTCTCTCACCCGCCCCGTGCCTCTGGCCTGTACCCCAGGCTCTTGTATAAATAAATCAATCTTTAAAAAAGAAAAAAAATACTTTCACTAATTCTCAATTCAGTATTTTTCATCTTTACTCGTAATGCACTTGAAATGTCTGCAAGTCCTTGAAAATTAGGAATTTCATTTGCAGGGCATAAAAATCTACCACACTCTGTAACATCACATCCATTCCCATGGAAGTAAAATAATTCTCCCTTCACTTATGGTTCTATTAAGACACATCTTTTAAATAAAGATTTGTTTTATTTTCACATATTACTCTATGCCTCTCAGTGTTACTCTTCGTACCTTAAAAAATTCCAAATAGGGCCTCCCCGGTGGCGCAGCAGTTGAACGCTGGTCTGCGAAGCTGCCGCAGCCTCTACAGCGCCGGTTCGATCCCTGGCCACTGGCGAGGGTCCCACATGGCGCGCAGACCTCTCCTGCCGCCCTCTGCTCCCCTCAGCAGTGTACTTCGTCAGTCTGCCTGTTCTGTTCCCTGCTCTGGTGAATTCTCTCACCCTCCCGCACTTCTGACTGTAACCAGTACTTGTATAAATAAATGTATAAATAAATAAATAAATAAATAAATAAATAAATCTTAAAAGAAAATTTTCTAAATAGCCTCTATGATCTCAATGGCTCTTTTCATGTTAACCTATCACTACGAAGAGGATGAAAATTAAGCTTTAGGGAGGTGACTAAAGGACAAGACCCTGGAGCCAAGCTTCCTGAATTTGAACCTTGGCTCTAACAATCACCAATTATTTGACTGCAAATGTTAATCAACCTCTCTGGGGCTTAGTTCCTTATCTCTAGAACAGTAATAATAGTACTTATCTATACAGAGATGTTAGTAAGATTTTGTGTTAATATATGTGCATTCTTTAAATGCTGCCTGGTATATGGCAAGCATTTGATAAGTGCTCATTATTTTTTATTTTTTTTAAAGATTTATTAATTTATACAAGAATCGGGGTACAGACCAGACACGTGGGAGGGTGAGAGGATTCACCAGAGACACAGTGGGGAACAGAACAGGCAGACTGACTGAAATTACACTGCTGAGGGGAGCACTGGGTGAGACAAAAGAGGTCTGCTCGCCATGTGGGTTGCTCCGAGGCCAGCGGGGATCAAACCAGCACTGCAGAGGCTGCGGACAGCTTCACAGCGCTGCGCTCAACTGTCTGCGCCACCAGGGAGGCCCCTATATTTTAATGAACTAAGACAATGTTCACAATTTTTTTAAAAGAAAAAAAGCTTAAAAAAAAACCAAAACTGTAGAAAACGCTGAGCGACTATACAAAACAAATCCTGATTAGGATTGTGGTTCATTTTTATTTTCTACCTTATAGTGTCCTTTATTTACTAAATGATTTGCAATGTTTTGTTTCATTAATTTCTGCCTTAGTAAAGGCAGCCTTCCAGAAGTCTTTTTTGATATCAAAATAAAGAGCAAGCAAAGTTTATGGCAGTTAGACTTGTATATCACAAATGTGAAAAATGGTTGCACATTACCGCACTTAGATTTTACCTGAAAAAAAAAACCTCTTTCAGAATGCTTACCTTTCATGGCTTCTGATTTAGCTTCTTCAATGGATTCATAAATCTTATTTTTATCTGCCAACCGTGCTTTTGTAGTCTTATGCTCAGCTTCTTCTTGTTCTAAGCTCTGCTGTATAACTTTCAGTTGATATGTCATATCTATCTCCATATTGTTCTTTTCCTAAAAATTAAAGATTAAAAATGGCAATTACTTAAAAAAAAATTGGCTCATAATTTCAAAAACTTACAAAATTATTTCATACAAGCTTAGGATACTTTCCCTCCTTTCTTCATTCAAACTTCTTGTAAAAGTGATCTCTTTATGGGTGTGCTATATGTGAGTGCAATCACACAATTTTTAAACAGAAGAGATGGAGTGTCCATCTCCCACCACTTCATTCTACTGCTTTGAGATCTGCATTAAAATGATTTTGATTGGTCAATGACAGCCTCAATATCCAATTCATCACTTTTTCATCTTTATTTCATTTAAATTTACTATTGCCCCTGAAACTATTTCCTTAACATACCTGACAGAGAACTCACTTGGTTCTCCACATTCTGCGCTCATCTTTCTGTCATTTGTGGAGTTCTCCCCCAGCTGCCCTGTAAATGCTGGCATTCTCTGGAATTAGTATGTTTTCACTGTAACATTTCTCCTCTTCCTATGTCTTAATTTCTCAAACTTAAAAACATACCTAATGTTTCCCTTTGCTATAATCTTAAAAAACAACAACAACAACAACAAACTCAGCATCCTCTGTCATTCATTCTTATTTTCCACCCAGAAGATAAAATAAGTTTATAATATGAAAGAAAAGAAGTCAGTCTATTTTCTATATATCCTCAAGAGATTTTCTAATTTTTGTTTCCTATAGCTTGTGCCATAAATATAGGTTCCCCCCCCCCAAATAAACCCTTTAATGCTGAAAATGATTTCTTTCCCCAAACGATACAAGGCATGAAAAGCGGGTACTCTACTCTGCCCTAAAAAACTACTTCTCTAAACAGCTCCTTCCCAGATGGGCTCTTATACTTGCATGGGTCAATTTGGTACCAATGGCTCTCAAATATTTCAAGTTTTTACTACCACAGATTATTGCTTTGTAGACATCCTTATTTGCCTGTCCTGTAAGCACCCCTAACTTAAGAAGACTAAAATGAATTTAGCATTGTCTCCTCTAAAAGAGCTGTTTTCCCTTTATCCTTTATTAATTAATGGCAGCACCACTGTATCTCTTGTCACAAACTAGATATCTGGAACTCATTCTTGATGAGTTTAAGCCACATATCACCAGCTAGTGCTGCCAAAGAGTCCTCCTTCAACTATTCTCAGATTCTTCCCTCTTTCCATCCTTACAACCACTTTATTAAGTCTTCATTATCTGAACTGCTCAAAAAGTCTGACTAACCTCCCTGCCTCTTGCCCACTTCAAATCTACTGTCCATCTCATGCATAATGATGTACCTTAAATGTACTTCTAAATAACATCACCCAATTTAAAGACATCCAGTGGCTAGCCCATTACTTAGAGAAACTAAGTTTCTTAACAGAGTATTCAAAATCTTTCATTATCTAGCTCATGCCTAGCACTGCAGTCTCTCTCTGGCCCTGAATTTTTCACAGTGACATAAGGACCACATTGTTGTCATCAGGCCAATTTTGGCCTGGTGTCTATTTTTGTGACAGTACACCGGAACACAGTCACATCCATTCCTTTATGTATTACAGCAGAGCTGAGTGTGGTAACACAAACCATATGGCCTTTAAAGCTTAAACTATTTAATATCTTTCTCTTTAAAGAATACAATTTGTAGACCCCCTAACTTTATACTCCAGAAAGATTGAACAGTTTATATTTAAATAAGCCATCTACACCTTTTAAATTTTCCATCCTTTGCCGTTGCTCATGCTGTCCTCCCCAACTCAGAATGTGCCTTTACACCACATCAACCAATACTGGTCTGTCAAATTAGTGACTGGTTCTAAGCCCACATCTGTGTTCATACCTCTATCATTTTGTTTACCATGCTGCATTAGCATTGTCTGTGTGCCTTATTATGGCTTGAGAAACTACCTATGAGACCATGAGACTGTTAAATGGCATCCTGCATATTTCTAACAGAGATGACATAGTAAATACTTCAACAAATAAGTGCATGAAAATAAAACATTAATTACACAGACTAGGAATTATTCCTGGCTCATGGTTTTTTGTTTTTTGTTTTTTTTTTTAAAATTTATTTATGCATACAAGAACTGGGGTGTAAGCCAGAGGTGCAGGGTGGGGTGAGAGGATTTACCAGAGACAGCGTGGGGAGCAGAACTGGAGGATCTACTGAGATATACTGCTGAGGGGAGCAGTGGGCAATATAGGAGAGGTCTGCTGTGCCAAGTGGATCAGCTCCCCGGCTGCCCGGGGGTCGAACTCGTGCTAAGACTTAACTCCTTGCGCCACCAGGGAGGCCCCACTCATGATATTTTTAAAGAAAAACTTTCAAATACTAAAAGTCATGATAACATTTCATTCTTGAGACATGCAAAAGTCAAATTTGAAACCCAGAGAGATGCATCTTCATATATATTTTAGGAAATCCCTTCTTTAGAAGCATCTTACAAACTAAGGGCTGGCGTGTATTGTCACGATTAGGCTTAAAATATATATCCCTGGGAGTTTATGCAACCAAGTCTAAATATACAAGAGTCCATGAGTATGCAAAAATACTTCAACATGGCTTTTCCTTGTTAGCCTAAGTTTTCCAATCTAAAACTTACATATAAACATAAAGCTTAATATGTCTTACCTTTTCCAAATCAGTCAGTCTCTCTTGCAGTTGTCTCTTCTCCACCTCTACTTTTGCTAGTAAGATTTTGCCATTCTTTAAATCTTCTTCGAGGCCAGAAAGTCTACCTAAAGTAGCAACATTTGAAAAAATAACAAATCTTAAAATACATATATTATATTAGGAGTTAAAAAATTTGAAAGTTACCTCATACGTTGGAGGTGTTATTTATGAGCAGGAGTTTTAAAATTGTTGGTATAGAGCTATACAGTTAACTGGAACTTAGTCTACTACCATGGGAGGTAGGTTGATGCTTAAAATATTTCATTCTATTGGAAAGTAAATTTTTTGTTCCTAAAATTTATATCAACATATTTCTAATATGCTAACTTTACATAGCAGAGTGGTACATTCATAAATGTGCTTCTCCAGTACATATCCACTGTCTAAAGTTATTTATAAATTATGAATCATCAAGATCAATACAAGTATAAACTAATACCTTGTAAATCATTAATAATCTCTGATCCATGGGTTCGGTCCCTCCTTTCAGATTCTAGAACTGACTGAAGATTGATAAATTCCTTTTCAAGCTTTAACTTGGCAGTCTCTAGCAGGCAATTTTTATCTTGTAGATCTCTATTGTTAGATTCCAGCTGCTGAATCTGTTTTGAACATTCTGCCTGGGTTTTTCGTAACCGGGCTGCGGTATCAGATTCTGTCCTCAGCAAAGCATTGGTTTCATCCAGCTGTTATTCCATTCAAAAATCAAACACAACAACAAACAGATGTACATAATGAAAATACTTCGACTTATAAAACCATTCCTACCTAATTAATATAAAATATTTTTCTTAGGACTTCCCTCTAAAATAAAAGGCAAAGGCTTTTAATACCACTGCCAATTAAAACTAACCTTAGTAGGGAGTCATAATAAAATTCAACACCCTTATTACAAATTGGGATCAACCTACTTGTCTCTGGAGTTCATTCACTTTCTCAGTGGATATTTGAGAGCTCTGGTTTCTTTTTTTCAAATCTTCAAGTTGATCTTTTAAACTGTTAACTATAATAAAAAGCATTTCAGTGGCAAGCTGCGACATAACACGCACACATAGACACAAACACTTAAATTTTTTTCTTGATATTTAATATTCTACACTACAAACCATCATTTTCCAAATTTCGTTTCTTGTCTGCGTCATGATCAGCTTTCCGCTGATATTCTGCATTTTTGTGCTGAAGAAGTGCCTTTTCTCTTTCTAATTGTCTCAATGCTGATTCCACATTTTTCCTTAAGGTAATCTGAAAAAGTGCTTAAAGTTACTGTCAAAGGTAAGTATATATAAAAATCAAATAAAAATATTTCAGTTATTTTAAGCAGATAAAAAAAGACCTAAAAATGTTTTCCATATTTTAAAATTAGCACATACTGTTAAATCATCAAAACCGTAAGTGTTTGTTTACTATTGAAAGTCAAACTTTCTTTAATAAATTTCCATCATCACTGGACCATCCTTATTTAATAGAAACAATGGTTCTAAAATGTATGAATAGCAACTATAAAGAAGACAAAACAACAATGACTACTTTCTGTTTTTAAGCAATGTTATTACTACAAATGCAATTTTTTACTTGAAATAACTACACAACAAAATAAAGTCTATTATCCTGGTTATAATTTTTGTCCTGTCAATCAATGCCACAAGGTAGCAGGTTTAACTGTATATCAAGACATTGATCACATGGTGTTAAGAGGACTCTGTAGGTAAGTCGGGCATCAAAACTTTTTATGAACAAAAAAGCTAATAAAAGCAAAGGGCAACTTTACCTCTTCTTCTAGTTCCTTAGTTACTTTTTCTAGACGTGCATTAACAGATCTAAAAAATTTCAAAAGAAACAACAGATAAGATAGCTCACTCCTAATTTATAATAAAAACACCATAAATTAAAGGAAAAAAAAAAACATGTAACTTCTTTGCAGTTATCCTTTGTGTAAAATGTTTTAACACATTTTAAATGACAATGTTTATTTATCGATGTTACGTACTTGCACTTTTGCTCCAGTTCCTCTCTGGCTTGCATCTCAGTGCTAAGATGTTCTTCTAATGTATATAGTTTTTTCTGAATCTGTCAAAAACAAAAATCTATTATTATAAAGTTTGGTGACTTAAATGAAAACAATTATTATCTTCTTTTTCTTTCAACAAAATCTCTATAATGGAACAATTATTTGTACCATCTTAATGAGACTTTCCTTGATTGAGAGAAAAAATCCTCCACCTCTTGCTTTCTATCACAAAGGCAGATGTATCTATGAACAACTATGTAAACATCTGCATGAGAAGGCTGTTTTGGTAGAATTCTTCTATGAAAAGTTTCACATTCATTATGTTAATAAATAAAGGATATCCTCAACTATTCAATGTTAACAATGTACTTATGAAGTTTATTTGAAAATACTGCCACCACTGTGCTTATAAAACAAAAAAATCAACCTGAAACAAATACTGAAAATATTTGACTGCACATGCTGCAAAATATATTACTGTTCTTAACAAATGACAATGTAAGCTCTTCTTTACATTTCCCTACACAATGTTGGGCACAGTACTAGGAAGAGCTGCAATCAATAATTCTTTTGGGGGCCTCCCTGGTGGCGCAGCGGTTGAGCACTGGGTTGCGAAGCTGCCTGCAGCCTCTACAGCACCGGTTCGATCCCTGGCTGCTCCCCGGCCACTGGAGGAGGGTCCCGCATGGCGCGCAGACCTCTCCTGCCGCCCGCTGCTCCCCTCAGCAGTGTACTTCGGTCCTTCTGCCTGCTCTGCTCCCCGCTCTGGCTCTGGTGAATTCTCTCACCCTCCCGCGCTTCTGACTGTACCCAGTGCTTGTACAAATAAATAAATAAATAAATCTTAAAAAAAAATTAAAAAAAAATTCTTTTGGGTAAATGCTCATTAATTATAAGTCATCTCCCTGATAACTTTCCCTAGTTATGTCAGTCTCTAGACAAACTAAAATAATAGAAGTTACTAAATAACACTTATTCAGACCATTATTATCTTTATTAGGGATTTAACTTTTTGAGTTCCTTTTCTGCATTAGATATAGTGGCAGGCACTTTATGTGTCATTAACCCTAACAAAAATCCTAAGAAGATGGTAGTAGTACATCTACTTAATAAAGAAGCTAAAATCCAAATAAGGTGAGTAAGTGGGTCCATTTAGCAGAACTAATAAGTAGCAGTGCCAAAAATCAACCCAAGTATATTAGGTTTCAATGCCAATGCTCTTTCTACTGTTCTCTCTAGGATTAGATTCTTTGTGGTTTCTTGCGTATGTTATGCATCTAAAGCAAAATAGTATTTTTCCCTAATAACACAAAAAGGTCAACAAAACAGTCAGATTTAAGTGCTTTTGGCTGTTTAACTTAATTTGATCATATTAGTTATCTATCACATGATAACCAGAAGTTCTTGCTTTCAATAATATATCCTTGAAAATAAAAACAAGAAAATTTACATAATATGTATTTTAAACAGATCCAGAGAAGCAATAATAAAAGAGATACTTGATAGAAACAAAAGTTGGGAACTTCTCTCTTGGTAGATGTAGTACTCCAAATGTTAGATGGAATATGACTGCACAAAAACACTGCTAGTGTTGTGTTTTTCAACATATTTGACAACATCAACATACCTCTTGACTTTCCTATTTAAAACAAAACAAAAAAACATATTAAAATATTTGTTATGCTTTTTAAAATTCCTAAAAGATAAATTATTCAACCCAAACCAAAATTACTCAATCAACAGATTTTAGTTTTTCAAAGAGAAAATGTTCAGCATCCTCTCCTATGTGTACATGTATATGTATGATTTAGTTTTATGTGTAGTTCCAAATTATAGAGATCACAAAATACTGTGAACAGTTTGGTAAACTTTAGTCTTCATTTGAATTCATTCCTAATCATTAAAATTTTAATCTCTCAACTATTTCTGTACTCGTGTACAGAAACACTAAGATTTATAGTACTAAAATTACAAATTTTCTAACTGGTGTTAAAGATGTTTACAAACCTATTCCATAACTTTTGCCACTAAAGTTAAGCCCTAAGTCACGAGCAAATCATTTTCCTACTACTCAATGTATCATGCACATGATGTTAAATAAGTGAGTCATTCCAGTGGCACGCTTAACTAAGAATTCAATCTAATGATTCAAACAGTAGCATCAAAGAAACTTTTTAAATACATGAATATTAGTAAAAAATTCACACATTTGATTAAAATAAAGTAGTAAAATTTTCAACATACTTCATTTTTCCTTGATTGTATGGAATCATTTTCTCTACAAGATGGAAAGTCACTTAATAACCTAGAAGAAAAGGAGGAAATAAATTCTCTTACATGTCATTTTAACCCATTTTCTAATACCATGTTATTCACAGAATTAAACTGCAACCACGAAGATTTCTCTTTCCTTTCTTTGTAATGTATTTTAAATGAAGCAGTATTTTCCCCTCTGAACATTTATACCTTTATCAATCATTTAAAAATCTAAACTGTTCCTGACTCTCACCCTCCACATTGTTGAGACCAGAGTGACTAAACAGATGTCTAGTTCCCTCCCCTTCATCTCATTTTGAGTTCCTGTAACTGTTTTATTCTTCTTTCTAGAAATGTTTTAGAAAGACATACTGCCTCTTTTTAAAAGATAACATCTCTTAAAGATCTTAACGCATAAATCATCACGTGTATGTCGCTGTCAATCTCTCTCTTAGGTGAGCCCTTCTTCACTGCCTATAAGCACGCCCGGGCTTCTCCCGGCACTGATAGTCTCATCTTCCTCAACATCGCAATTGCTTTTAGAATACCACGCCTGCAGGATGCCCACTCCATGGGGTTTGCCTGGGGCTTCCTGGTTTCAGGATCAAAGTCCCACGCCACACCTGAGGAAACTGCTAGTCCTGAGAAAACTGTAGAAATTGGTCATTCGGTCATTCCATCCATGGACATAACAAAAATTTCTCAATGTCTTTAATACTTCACTCAGCTATTTAACAGTTTTTAGGGGTCCTCGTTGCCTGCCAAAGCCCAGAATCACTAAGCACAGCACACAAAAATGACCAAGTGCTCAGATGACAGCACTATATACACTATGCTCGAACCTGCCGCACCAGCATGTTCTCTCCCCAAGACATATGCTTGCATTCCAGACTTTTGCTTCCACCACCCACCTCCCCACCACTCTCTCGCCTAACTTCCCCACATCTTTGCCACTCAAAACCCCTTTCTTATTTTTAAACTCAGCTAAAATGCTACTTTTTCTTCCCTGAGGTCCTACCTGACTCTCCACTCCCTCTACCCAAAGAGATGTGTCTTTCATTTTTCTCCTGAGACACCGCAGATTTTTTCTGATGCTTTTCTTAAGGCAAACATCACATTCCATCCTTCAATACAACTATATAATTCTCTTAGACCCTCATAACTGACAAGCTCCTTCAAAAGCAGGTACTTGGTCTTATTCTATATCCCCACAAGAACACAGAACATTACCTTGCATTTATGAATAAATATCATAAGCCACTCAAAAATAAAATAATGAACTTAAATAAAAACTCTAGGATTGTTCTTTTGAAAAATTCAAAGTTTGCAACCAATTAACACTATAGTATATAATTATTTACAATCATGAAGTCATGTCATTATAGCTAGACTAAAAACAAATAAATCACATACAAATTTTCTCTATAGTAGGTAAATCCTATAAAAGGCAGCTGATTTCCCACAAAAGCTTTAGGAATTGGGAAGGTTTCTACATCTCCTTTATCATCTTCAATGTCGTCAAAATTGCTGCTGTCTATGTCACTGCTGAGTTCAGGTACTACAGGTGCTGCCGCTATTAAAAGAAAATAAATTATTTCATTCAAAATGAAAAATACATGTTTTGTAATATATTATTACAATAAGTCATATATAAGTTAACATTATACATTAATGATTAATATTGATTGACTATGGAAAGTTTTAGCAACACAATTTCCATTTTATCATTTCGAAGAATTCAATTTTATAAATATTTCTTAGACTAGATCAATTTTAAATATGAACAATTAAGCAAGAAAAGGAATATGTTATTATTCTAGGTATTAGAATATACATTCTTTGGCCTTCAGTTTTCTACATATATATTCTACATATATAAATTCCTTACTTTCAAAATGAAATATCAAATATACATAAAGTAAAAACAAATTACTATGCTCACCCTGTAATTCAAAGTAGTTTCTATACATTATTACTGATTTATTAATTCAAACACATTCAAAGTAAGATTGTATTTCCACCATTCTGAAAATCACTGACAACTATAAAACTGAACTTCACAAATTAATATGAAACATAAAAAAGTATTATGAAATACTGTTAATAATACTTACTAGTTTGCTAAGGTACTGAGGTAATACTACTTTAGTTATAAATACGGACATGGAGCAAATTTAAAATGAAATCTCTCAATTTAAAAATTAGCATTCAGAGTGTCAAACATGCATGTTAATTCAAGAGGAATCAATTTATGAGATTAAAAAATTAATGACTTACTCTCTCTTATGTTTTCCCAATTCCACTGATCATTCTTAAAGAAAGGATGTTGTTTGATTTCTTCTACCCCATTTCTCCCAAGTCGCACCTCCCTAAACAATGTAAAGGTTGTATTATGAGAAGAGTATGTAAAATATTAACTTATTTAAACAAGGATCAAACTAAGAATCACCAATGAGTTTGAGATATCTGTATTAAAAGCTTCAGCGGGCCTCCCCTGGTGGCGCAGCAGTTGAGCGCTGGGCTGCGAGGCTGCCCGCAGCCTCTGCAGTGCCAGTTCATTCCCCAGCCGCCCGCAAGGGTCCCACCAAAAAAAAAAAAAAACACAAAAAAAAGCTTCAGCTATACTATTTCTCAATTGCATAGTATGTGATCCCTCTGAATGAATTAAAAGAATTTCAAAATATAGAAGACACTATGGAAAGCAAAATACATTTCTATTTGTAACCTATGTCCAGTGAAAATGCATATGAAACTTTCAAATTAAAAAAAAATGATCTGCATGTGCCAAAAACACTTGACCAACTTCAGGATGTAAAATGGACAAAGAAATAACTTTTGGCACAGAAGTTATTTTTCTCTAATTAGAGAAGTTAAGCTTCTCTGATCAAATAATATTTAATATAAATATCAATATATCAATATAAATATTAAAAATAACTCATACTGGGTCTCCCTGGTGGTGCTGGGGTTAAGACACAACCTAAGAAGATATCCGCAGCCACTGCAGCACGAGTTCGATCCCCGGCCAGGGCACAGCAGACCTCTCCTGACTCACCCGCTGCTCCCCTTAGCAGTGTATTTCAGTCATTCTGCATGTTCTGTTCCCCACTCTGCCTCTGGCGAGTCTTCTCACCCCCCCATACCTCTGGCCTGTACCCCAGTTCTTGTATACATAATAAAAAAATCTTTAAAAAAATACTATGCAGAATCTATCCATATTTACTCCAATAAATTATATCTCTACAGTTCTATTAAAATTTTTCCTAATCACACTGATGGTGTTAAATTATTTTCAAAAACTGTTTTCTCTACTGACAATCATGTCTTAGACTGCAAACACCCACCCACCCCCAAATAAATTGCTTAGGCAAATCCACTAAACCCCAAATAAGGGTTTGCTTAGGTAAAACTTTCATGAATGGTATTGTTTTTATTAACACATGCTATAACCTATTTTATATTTTACCATTTGCAACAAATTATGGTCAACTACATCAGCACCTTCCAGTCCTCAAATCATACATTATACAGGATTTACCTTGAGTTTACCTACATGGATTGTTTGTGAATCATATGATTAGCAAAGTTTTGTTCTAGAAATGATTGCTAAAAACAGTCTTTCTAGTGTGGAAAAATACTAACTCTTCTTGCCACAGATGGAAAAACACTTATAATCTTCAGTTTGATAAGAATGAGGGAAACAATTATTGCTAGAGGAAATCTACCTTGAGGTGCCTTCTCTGAGTGCCAATTTACAACATCAATTTTAAAATGTTTCTCAGAATTTTACCTTTAAGATTTTATCCTACAAAAAAAAGTATGCAAAGAAGGATAGTCTCTGCAGTACTACTTCTAACAGCAATGAGCAAACAGTAAGGTGTGCTGGGGAATTACAGCATTAGCGGGCTTGAAATGCACTTAGAGGTCTTATCTGATTCCATGATTTTTATGGACTAATAAAATTATTTCCCAAAAAGTAAAATAATTTCCTTAATATCATAAAATTGTGAGGAAAAGCAAGCACCCTCTTGTGTGGACCTTTGAGAGGATCACTCTTAGCACAAATATAAAAAGGGAACAAGAACTGAATAAAAGTCAAGGACGAAACTCCAAATAGTTTTCTAGTTTTTCTTTTTGAGGCAAGTTTTTACAGGGCTGCTCGTCTATTTTGTTTCAAAATATATCAAATCTCCAGGAAAGATTTGCTCATATTCAGATGCAAATAAGAAAGGGTTGGGAAGAAGACACTACCATATAAAACACAAATAATTTTTAAGATTAAAACCTATTATTTATCTGAACAGAATGCTTTCACCTCAAAAGTTATACAATCAAGGCCTTAAGAGGTAAAATGTAAAATTACCAAAGTTTTATTTCCCTCAAATGCATTATTTTTCCAACTTCTGTTTTTGTTTCTAGACAGGAAGGTTAAGTGTATAGTTAAGTGACAGCGGGGCTGCATAAGGGTAACCCACCACCAGGAAAAGGCTATAACCAAGAATTAAAGGTGGGCCTCCCCGGTGGCGCAGTGGTTGAGCGCTGGGTTGCAAAGCTGCCCGCAGCCTATGCAGCGCCAGTTCAATCCCCGGCCATCAGGTGAGGGTCCCACATGGCAAGCAGACCTCTCCTGCTGCCCGCTGCTCCCCTCAGCAGTGTACTTCGTCAGTCTGCCTGTTCTGCTCCCTGCTCTGGCTCTGGTGAATTCTCACCCTCCCGCGCTTCTGACTGTACCCAGTGCTTGTATAAATAAATAAATAAATCTTTAAAAAAAAAAAAAAAAAAAAGAAGAAAGGTGACTTGATGTCATATGTAAATAAGAGTTAGCTAAGCTTTCATTTCTACAAATTTAAAAATCAGATGACTGTACAAAGAAATTCAATATATATTACCTATCTGTTAAGAAGGCACAGATGAGATTCTTTGCTTGTTTAGAAATTTCTGCATCTTCAGGGAAGCATAGTGAGTTTTTATGATCCATAATTTTGCTGTATGTTCCCACAAGTGAATCTGCATAAAATGGAGTATCCCCTAAAATTCCAAGAAAGAGAGAGGTGAATAGAAAATGCAAACCAAACACATGTCATCTAATATTTAAATATGGTAAGTTGAAATTTGTCACTGTCATGGAAAAATAAACAGTTTATGGGCCAGGAATCTCAGTCAAAAGTAACAAACCCACACCAATAACATTTGTAAATTTTAACCATACCAATCAACCATTACCTTTAAGAGCAATGCTAACTCTAGAATCTGTGGCTTTTTTAACATAGGAAAGGAAACAATTTACTGAATAAAGAAAAAAATTACTAATGGGGCCAGGTCAGCTGGGTCAGAGCCCCCTAATGCTTGAACTGTAATGCTTTACAGCACTGTTATATAGTGGTCACTCACTATCCCGCTTGTCCATTCAAAGTTAAATTAATTAAAATGAAAATTTCTGTTCCCTAGTCACAGTGACCACTTCTCAGGCACTCAACATGGCCAGTGCTCACCAGAGTAGAAAAAACCTGTTGCCATCATGGCAGACTGGTCACCAGCCCTATTATTTTACATATGAGAAGGTCAGGCCAAGTAGCTGACATGTGAGTTGCCTGCGATAACAGAGGCAGACAAAAAAGGCAGAAATGGTGTCCAGTGCAGAGTTTCTGGTGACTGATGACTAAGAGAGGAACTGAGAAAAAGTTGAAGGCACTATTTTGAGCTTCAGAGTTACAAGGTTAATTCCTAACAAGGGCTAAAGGCCCAGTCAGTATGCTTCGACTACAAGTTACCTTAGGAAAAAAATGAACTTTCCTGTATCAGTCCATTCAAAACTTCAAACAGATATTCAGGTAGTTAGCTTTTGTCTTTTTTCACAAAGGAGCAAGAAAGGATCTTTGAATTCAAGATTTTTCTAATGCCATTTTCAAGTGCAGTAGAGAGTTCTTTATGAAGTCCAGAACCAATCAACTTGAGCAAGCACCAAAACAGACTGAGCACACTGCAGATCCATGTCATTCAAACTCATTAAATTCAGAGTTGAAAACAGCAGCAGAGTTTGAAATAGTAACAGGAATTAAACGACCTTTTCAAATGAGCCAGGTGACTTATCCAAAGCATATTATTTTTTTAAATCCCTAAGAAAGTTTAGACAAGTGACAGAATATATTCTATTTTCAAAAGATTGTAAGACACACCTAATGCATCATCCATCAGGCCAAAGGTGAGGAAAACAGACAGCTAACTGCCATGGAATGCACAGCGAATACAAAGAGACCCCCTACAAAGACCAATGCCCTAAACAAGGGTCACACTATGACAAGAGACTAAGCATAGCAAATTCAAGGATGGCCATTAAGAGAGGGCAAGTTATGCAACAAAAAAGTTCCATAACTAATCATTATTTAAATTTGGGTTTTACCAAAATATAGATTTTTTTTAAGCAATATCCATACTCAATTACTGTACAAATTTTACACATTTTTCTGCTACCAATTGTTCTGGGATCATATTCAAGGAAAAAATTCTCTAATTTCTAAAAATATATTTTCCACTCCAATGTCTTATCCTATAAGCCTTATCACATTTGCCTCAGAAAGTAGATTTCACTACATCTCCCTTATTCCCAAGCAGGTGTCTCAGTTATTGGCTTCCTTAAGTCAGATGTTTTTGTGACCTTAGTACTTAGGAACGGAAAATCTTAAGGAAAAAAAAATCTGTGATGTAAAGAAAGGTTTCAAAATATGAGCATTTTAAATTTTGGCTTTTTTCTTAAATTATTTTTATTTTTTTAATTGAGGTCCAGTGGTTTACAGCGCTGTATGTGATTTGAAGGTATGAACTCACTCCTCTTCAGATAAAAGTTCCCACACCACACCTACAACCAAGGCACCACAGTCCTCCACACAGTCCACAGAGTGCCGTCTACATCCTGCTCTCCACCGCCCACCCTTCCCCTCTGGTAGCCTCAATCTACAGTCAGACTTCGAGGTTTGTTTTTGGTTTTGCTCTGCCTGTCCCTTTGTTTTGTGGGTACACGGCAGTAGTAATACCTGAAGGGGAGATCTTATACTCCCCCAAATACAAACAATAATGTAAACCAACATTCCCTCAATAAAAGCCAAATAAAAATGATTAAAAAAACCCATTTACTTATCCATCATATAATACGTATTAAGAAAAAGTGAAATGGTCCAGTATTTCTTTGTCGTCCTGATTTATTTCACTTAGCGTCATCCCCTGCAGTTCCACCCATGTTATAAATTAGTAAAAGAAATTATTACATCTGCCTCTGAATTTTCTGAGACTGAACTATTATTATAAACATATTTCATTTCATAGTTAAATGGTTAATAACTATATGATTAATTTTACTGGAATTACAAGCATATAAGTAGTAAACATATGAAATATAGTTTATAAAAAATCAATTATGTAACAAAATAGAGTACTTTTAGTTGTCTATTATTAGTGGAAACATAGTGATAGCCTTTAATTAGAAATATTTACAATAGGGCCTCCATGGTGGTATAGGGGTTAAGTCTCAGCACTATCACCACTGAGGCCTGAGTTTGAACTCAGACAAGGGAGTTAACCCACATAGGGTGCAAGCGGACCTCTCCTGTCTCACCCACTGCTCCCTTCAGCAGTGTATTCTGCTCCCCACTCTGTCTGTGGTGAATCTTCTCACTACTACACCTTTGGCCTACTTCCCAGTTCTTCTAGGTATAAACAAACAAACAAAAAGAAATATTTACAACAAATACTATTGATCAAGAACATCTCAGAATGGAGGTCCATTGCAGCTATGAACCTGCCTCTTCTAATATTTTCCTAATACAAAAACACTGGAGTAATACTGCCAAACAGTCTATGCTCAGTTCCTTTCAAGTTCTACTTAATCACTGTGCCAGTGTGTGTGGTGGTGATACCCGATGGGAATGATCCTAATGTTTTCTTGATTAAAAGAATAAATAAATTATAAACATAACAACAGTAATAATTTTCCAATTAATAGTCTGTTATTTCAGACACTGCTGATTCAAACCTTTCAGAGATTACATTTTTCCTCTATGGCCCAGGCAATTAATTTCTTTATATTCTCAAATTCTTAACTTAGAACTAAGGTATTATGAAATGTTGGTTTTAAAAAAAGTTAAAATATTTACTTACCCACCAGCATCTCGAAAAGGAAAACACCTACAGACCACCAATCACATTCTCGCCCATAGTAACCATCACCCCCTTGTGATTTCAGAACCTCAGGCGATATATAATCAGGTGTTCCAACTGCTGTATCACAATGCACCATGCCTGTCTGGGTAAATTAGTAAAGATAAAGAAAAGTAGCTGAGTGTTAATGTGTTTTACAAGACACACATAAATGCAGCTAATTAATTTTTTATTAAATACATATTAGCTACAAACTGTAATCGACAGAACTTCGTTGTTGATGTGGCTTTGGAAGGATGGGGCATAAATGCATTATGAAATACGCATTAAAATGCCTGGATTATGAGAGAGCTGGGATAAAATTCCAATTTTCAAATATAGAAGGCTTCATCAGTGAAAAAAGGAAAAGGTGGTAAACTCCATGGGAATTCCATATAAATCAACATCTTTTATGTATTTTTCTTGCACTATGAAGTAGTTACAAGAGAAGTATCAAATGGTTGTTAATATACTTGACCACTGACTGGGGAAAAGAAAAGGATCACTGAACTGCAGCAGTGCCGCCCCTGGTGGTGCAGTGGTTGAGCGCTGGACTGCGAAGCTGCCCGCAGCCTCTGCAGCACCAGTTCAATCGCCAGCCGCTGGTGAGGGTCCCACATGGCGCGCAGACCTCTCCTGCCACGACCACTGCTCCCCTCAGCAGTGTATTTCGTCAGTCTACCTGTTCTGTTCCCCGTTCTGGTGAACTCTCTCACCCTCCCATGCTTCTGACTGTACCCAGTGCTTATATAAATAAATAAATCTTATTAAAAAAATAAATCTTATTAAAAAAACACTGAACAATTAAAATTATGAAAGACCCAGTTTAGAGGCTGTATAAAGAAATGATTCTTATTGTACCAAGAAAACATGGGGGAAATAGATCAAATGTTTACATTAAAATACTCTTTCCAAAACAGAAACAGTGGTGTAAACCACTATTACCTTAGTTTAAAAAAAAACAAACAAAAAACTAAAAATTTTGAATAGTTTGAAAGCCACACTTCCATGTTGCATGTTTAGAAGCTATGACATCAAGATTATTTGGCGATATGATTAAAAAAATCCTTCTCTCTTTTTACTTTTGGTGGGTAAAAAGATAAATCCTATTTGATGTCTTTTTGACAAGAAAAAGAATCACTACAGATCTATATATGTGTAGCATTGCGTAGCTTATTTCTGCACGTTGTAAATCTGTATATGTCGTAAAATTAAATCACTATAGTAGTATAGCACTAAATATTTGATCAGTTTCAGTGTTGTCCAAATTTGCAAAGATTTCACAGACTAATTTAATTTCACAGACTAATCTTACCCTGTCAGATAAGTTAATACCCATGACTGCCTTTACCTATCTTCCTTGTAAGGAAGCTATACAAACTACCAAAATATCTAGTATTAGACCACCTGAAGTTCAATGTATTTCATGATTTATGTAATTTATGATGTAAATTACATGATTCGAGTACATTTTTTTATTTAAACACAATGAAACATGCTAAACATGACTCATTAATTTGAAAAGCAGTTGATTATTCCTGTTAGCAGAAATAACTCAGTTTTTTCCCAAGCATATAGCAAATACAGAAAGCCATTTTAGTTTGAACATTAATTATTTTTTAAACAACAGAGAAAATTATGAGGATAATACTTTATGTAGATTACTTAGGATAAAAGCTGAAGAAAATAGTTTGACTTCAAAAGGCAGAGTACACAATATATTTATCATGAACTACCTTATACTTTAGACTTCTTTTGAAAGAAAAACTAAGAGACTTAGCAGGGTAAAGAAAATCTCTTCATTTTTTATATATATATCTATAGAAATTAGGCTCTAAAACACAAATCCTGTGAGGGTTGAAAAGTAATAAAACCTTGCTATATACTCACAAAGACAAAAAAGTACACTACAAGAAAAATTATTTAGCATTTAAAGATTCAGAGGAAGGAGAGGAAAAGGCAAGAAACAAAAAGAACTAGCATAAAGTTAGGCTGCAAAGTATACCTTTAAAGGAGAAAGGGTAATAAGGTAGCTAAGAAAAAAGAACCAAAATAAAGGAACAAAAGGACTGTATGAAGCATGTTCAAGATGTGCAGTGATGTCCAAATCAGCTAAATGTAAAATTTCACAATGATGAAGGTGAGACAGGTACAGTGGAGATCAGCTTGAATAACCACTGAAGAATAAACACTTGGGTAGGACTAAAGAATTTTTAGTAAGTAAACTACGGAACTAGCATTCTGTTTTTGGAAAATCAACATTCTAACTACAAATTTTGGCCAGCACACTGGATTTTTTTTTTTTAAGTAAGCATTTAAAAAACATATTTTAAAATTGTCCTATGGGGAAATTCTTCAATCCTATGAATATAGAATCTACATTTGTGACAGCTCTGATCCTATTAAAAAGAAATGCAGGGAGGATAAATCAGAAACTAAAAGACACTGACCTACCTACAAAGGGTGGGTGGAAAGGTGAAAAGGAAGGAACACAGGGAAGGGGCGCTGGGGGAAAGCAGGAGCAACCCTTCTCTAAGCGTGCTTTCTGCACAGCTCTGACTCTTGAAACCAACCACAGGAATGTGTCATATATAAAAAACATAAAAAACAGCTGAAATCAAATTGGATGTGGAAATAACTCTAGATGGAATACAATAGTGAGAAATGAATTTGTTTTCTAGATTAATAATGTAACAATGAAGGAGGCGTGGAAGAAATGACCAAGTAACTTTGGGAAGTAGTATCTTACATGAATAAGGCTACATACAAAAAGAACTGCACAAAGACAATGCATTCTAGTTAGGAAATGTTTGTCACGGAGGTAGGGATTGACAATCCTGGATTTTCGTGTATACTGGGACTGAAATAAGAGAGCCAGGTTTCTCAATGTCCAAAAGAGAAATTACAGAATAGAAGGGAAGATGACTACAATGAATCCTGTGGTACATGACCAGGATCAGAAGTATCCGCATGAACTCATACCTTTGCAGGCTATATATCTATAGACAGATATGAACAGGATTAAACACAGACGTGTGTTCATGCAGGTTAATACATACAGTGCATACAATATGTACAAGTCCATGACAGGACCTAGAATTAAAGATACTCCAGAAGTACTAAACATGTCTGGTGCCCAAATCATTACCTTCTAAATACCATTACCATATTTGTCTTTCTCCTAACTTATTTCATTTAGCATGATTCCTCCCAGCTACGTCATGTTGCCATAAATAGCAAGAATTTATCTTTTCTAATAGTTGAGTAGTAGTCCATTATGCTTACATACCACATCTTCTTAATCCACTCATCTGTTTTTGCGCATTTGGTAAATTGTTTCCATATCTTGGCTATTATAATGAACCTGGGAGCACAAATTTCCCTTCAATCAGTGTTTCTATAATCTTTGGGTAGATATTTAGGAGTGGAATTACTGGTGTTTTTTTTTTTTAAACCAAACACTTCCCCCTTTTAGTTTTTTTTTTTTTTAAAGATTTATTTATGCATACAAGAGCTGGGGTACAGGCCAGAGGTGCAGGGGGCTGAGAGGACTCACCAGAGACAGAGTGGGGAGCAGGCCAGGCAGATGACTGAAACACACTGCTGAGGGGAGCAGCTGGCGAGTCAGGAGAGGTCTGCTGCGCCATGTGGGTAGTTCCCTGGCTGGGGATTGAACTCGTGCTACAGCAGCTGCAGACAGCTCCATAGGTTGTGTCTTAATCCCTTGAGCCTGGAATTACTGGGGAGGCCCTCAAATTACTGGATTTTATGGCCGATCCATTTGTAATCTTTTGAGAAACCTCCATACTGTTTTCCAGTAGGGGCTGGGCCAGTCTGCATTCCCACCCCCATGCAGAAAGGGGCCTTTCCCACCACATTCTTAGTGTTCTTAGTGTGTCTGGTCTCTCTGATATGGGGTGAAGGGGGATCTCATTGTGGTTATGATTTGCATTTCTGTGATAAGTGGTGATGACCATTTTTTCATTTGTCTTTCTGGCATCTGTATGTCTTCTCTGGAGAAGTTCATTTCATGTTTTAAATGGATTGTTTTCTTTTTTATTGAGTTGTATGAGTTCTTTGTAGATCTTCAATATCAGCTTTTGTCAGATATATACTATGCAAATATTTTCTTCCATTCAGTGGGGTGTATCTTTTTCTTTTATAGTTTCTTTGAATGTACAAACATTTTGGTTTGATGTAGTCTTCAATAAAAACTCCTTTGTTCTTCAACAATATATAATTGTTCTCATTATTAATATTAAGGAATGGAGGTTTGGGTTAAAACCAACACTACTTTTAAAGCTCAGTATTTCATAAAAATATTTGACTAACAAGTTAAGGATTTTTGTTCAAAGAAACAGATGAGTAGTAAAGTAGAAGAAAATACCAGTACCTGTGGAATCACTAAATAGATTATATTTAGTAATATATATAATATATAATCAACATGATTATATGCATATAATCAATATGATTATATACAACATATACATATAATCAACATATGATGTGCAAGGATGACCTGCACATCAACAGGAAGCCAATTTTAAAAGGATCAAAAATAGACAACAGTTAATTCACAAAAGAAATGAGTGACAAGTATCTGAAATGATTTACATCATCGGTTGTAATACTTCCCATTGGTAACACCTGGAGAGTGAATAATGAGAGTGGATGAGGACATGGGAAGAGAAGGTCTCTTGTGCACTGCCAGCAAAAGGTCATAAACATTCAGAAGCATTCTGAGATCAGCTAAGACTCCAAATATCCTCTAGCAAGGAGGCTCATTTCTAGGCTTATGTTTAAAGGAAGCTCTATCAAGGTACACTTTGAGACATGTGTGAAGATGTTCAACATAGCACTACTGGTAAGAGGGAACTGGATGTGACTGAAGAATCCAAGTCAACTTAATAGAAAGATATTATGGAATATGCTCAGAAGCAATGAGCTAATTTACTTATCTCAGGAATGGCTACTAAACAATGTTGAGTGAATAAATAAAATGACGCTGTACCATCATATGATCTGCATGTATGAGCACTACATTAACAGTCTGCCAGAGCTTATAGTAAATACATTTACAGTGGCTGGCTATCAGGGAAAGAAAGAACAAGAAACTAGGAGATAAACTAGGAGGTAATTATAAAACTACGTAAGCCGTATTTTATTTTCCTTGTAAGATACTGAATACTGGGCCTCCCTGGTGGCGCACGGGGTTAAGTCTCAGCACTTTGAAGCCACCAGCAGCCACTGCAGCACAAGTTCCATCCCCAGCCAGGGAGCTGACCCACATGGTGCAGCAAACCTCTCCCTGCCTCACCTGCTGCTCCCCTCACCAGTGCATTTCAGCAGATCTGCCTGTTCTGCCCCTACTCTGTCTCTGGTGAATCCTCTCAGCCCCCGGCCCCCACACCTCTGACCTACACCCCAACTCTTATATGCATAAATAAATAAATCTTTTTAAAAAAACATACATGAATACTGAATTTAGCATTCAATTACTTGCTGTAAAATTATTTTTAAATACCATATTCTGTTCTGTTCCTGATATTCTCACAATCTACACTATTCTTTCCTTAACTTTACCCTCCTCCTTAACTTTACCCTTAACTTCTTCCCTAATTTTACCCTCCTTAAAAATGTGGTGTGATTATTTCTCTGTACCTTCCCAAAGGTTTTTGGTTTAATAAAAATCAGCGTGTACTCATGGAACTATAGACAAAAAGCATTATTCTTTTTGTCTAACAGATACAAAAAGTTTAGGATTCCATTAGAACATCATTTCATGCTTCATTTTCATTAAAGGTAATTTTCACTAGTAATTATTTTATAATATATAATAAACACCACATGAGGAAGCTTTGCATATAAATATTTTATCTACTAAACACTGATTAATATATGTAGAATATAGTAACAGACTCGAAGAAGACCAGAGACATAAAGGGATGTTAAATTTTAACTGGGTAGACAAAACACACAAACCTAGATAGACATAAAAACAGCCTATAAAGAACAGCACAAATTCTAAGCAAGTGAGGACATCATGAACATTATATCTTGAGAAGAGTGAGCAGTCAGGTGAGGATTATCAGGTAGAACTTTCTAGATGAGGTAAAATATGAGCTGAGCATGGAAGGAAATGGATCACTGATGAAAGTAGGACAATCAATAAAGGTGATTATCACAAAGAACCCATGAGTAAGTTATGAGGTAAAGAGAAAAGAAAATCAGCTTAATTCAAGATAAATATTTTGACAGGATAACTAACAAGAAATTAACACATAGGCATACTAGGTTATAAAAACCATAGAGGTGGGCTTCCCCGGTGGCGCAGCGGTTGAGCGCTGGGTTGCGAAGCTGCCGGCGCCAGTTCGATCCCCGGCTGCTCCCCGGCCACCTGAGGAGGGTCCCACATGGCGAGCAGACCTCTCCTGCCGCCCGCTGCTCCCCTCAGCAGTGTACTTCGGTCCTTCTGCCTGTTCTGCTCCCCGCTCTGGCTCTGGTGAATTCTCTCACCCTCCCATGCTTCTGACTGTACCCAGTGCTTGTATAAATAAATAAAATAAATAAAAATAAATCTTAAAAAAAAAAAAAGTTCTTAAAAAAAAAAAAAACCATAGAGGTGATGATACCCAGTTTGCTGTCAAAATACATTAATACATAGAAAATCTGATACCTATAAGTCATTCCTCAGACAAAAAGGGGAATACAAAGACAATAAAACAAAGACAATAACTAAGAGGTTAATGCACTGCATCTCTTCATCTAAATTTGAATTGCTGTTTGCAAATTTATACTACATGGTTAGTGCAGATGAGGTGGATACGAGGTGGTAACAGAAACCTTTTACCTTACTTCTTTTTTAAAGGAAAAATACAGAAATAACATGGTGATGGAAACACATGTTCCTTAATTTATATTGTGCCCTACGCCTTCACACAGAACAGTACACATAAAACTAGTCTTGATTGAGAGCAACTGTTTATCAACATTCTATGAGGAAGGTAAGTATGTAAGTTTACCTGAGTTCTTATTTCTCTTCAATTCACCAAAGGTAATAATAAAGTTCTCTATAATAAGATGAATGATTAGTAAAGGAAATGTCTTTATTTGCCATATTACTTTGCTTTAGTCATTACACAGCAAAACTAACTTTATAAAACTATGAAGCCCTGATTTGAAGTTTCTTTAAATTTTTTCAAAAAGTAGTGATTTTTTTATCTGCTTATTACTTACTTCATCCATCTTCATACATGTGCCAAAATCTGCTAATTTTAGATGTCCATGTTTATCCAAAAGCATGTTGTCAGGCTTCACATCTCTGTGAATCAAACCCATGGAGTGTATGGCATCCAGAGCAAGAACCACCTCAGCAGTATAAAATTTGGCCCATTTTTCAGGCACATCATAGTTACTCATAAGGTTTACCAGGTCTCCACCAGGCATGTACTCCATCACCATGTACAGATACTTATCATCTTGAAAGGCACAAAAGAGCTGGAAAACAAACAGTAAGGAAAAAAAAATTTAAATGAAAGAAAATCAAAATCATAAAAGAATAAAAATAAAAAGCTATTACTATTGAAAAAGAAAAATGATAACCAAATGGAGCTGAAATTTATGAACTCTTCTACATTTGAACACCTTTAATGGAAAAAGTTATCAAGCAGAAGTTTTATATGGGTATCTTCTTCAAAACATACATAAATTAATCTTTTTTCCCTCTGGGAGAACACAGGATTCTACCTAAACAGAAACATTTAAAAAGAGAAACAGAATAAGGAAGAGAAACCTGAGCGGTTAATGACAGAAGTCATAATTAAGAAACAGCTTTCTGAAAATTACTGCATATAGGTCACACAGAATAGAGCTGAGAAGTCAGGAGCAGTTTAGGAAAGCCCAAAGGATATCAAATTCAATGGCTACAAGCAGAGGGACAAGCCCCATACAGAGGGAAACAGTAACTGACATGGAGATTTGGAATAGGGCCTTTGCACTCCCCTGCACCGCCACCTCCCCGTTCAGTCATCGTGTTCATAATGAGCAACAAGTGGCAGTGTTCGCTGCATCCAGATTAAAGCAGTAGCACTGGGACCAGAGGAATACACCAAGCTAGTAGGAAAGAAATAGAACAAAAGCAAGAATTAACTTTTGAGAAAAACCAACATCATGAAATAGAGGCAAAGCAATTCAAGAAATAAAAAATTGATAGCTAAGAAAATGTTTAATAAAACAAATCAGGAACAGCTTCAAATATCTAAGAATCAATACCCTCAAAAGAATTAACATGCCACATCAACTAAACAATAGTCTGAAATGGAAAAAAATTCCTGAAACTTGCACTGTGGGAGAGGTAACACAGGTCAGAAGAAAAAAAAATGAGAGAAATGATCACTAAAAATGTACAGAAATGAAGAGACTTAAAATCTAAGCTATAGGGGCCTCCCCTGGTGGCGCAGTGGTTGAGCACTGGGCTGCGAAGCTGCCCACAGCCTCCGCAGCGCCGGTTTGATCCCCGGCTGCTCCCCGACCATCGGAGGAGGGTCCCACATGGTGTGCAGACCTCTCCTGCCATGCCCGCTGCTCCCCTCAGCAGTGTACTTCATCAGTCTGCCTGTTCTGTTCCCTGCTCTGGCTCTGGTGGGTTCTCTCACCCTCCCATGCTTCTGACTGTATCCAGTGCTTGTATAAATAAATAAATAGATCTAAAATAAACAAATAAATAAAATCTAAGCTAGAAAGGACCTCTAAATGAAATGGAGTCAAATAAGACAGGTATAAAGTTGGAGAAATTCAACAGAATAATCCCAAATTTTCAAAGAGAAAATAGATCTTTGAAAAAACATAAAATAAATCATGCTGGCAACAAATCTCTCATCCAACATAAAATATACAAAAAGACAACAGAACAGTATCTTCAAAGATACACTTTGAGGTAAAATAATTTTGTTTCTAGACTGTAACAGATTGAAACATAAATTAGAGAAATGCAGTATATCACAGAAATTTTCAAAATTTATAACTAAAAGAACTATCCAAGGATATAGTTTGACATAATAGGAACAAACAGGAGAGGATTATTTGAAACCTAATCAAAAGGGTAAATTTAAAAATCCAGAAAAGTTTGCTTGATGTAATTGACACAAAATTAAATACTTGAGAGTTATGCCAAAATCAGAATAATTTTAAATGGAAGGTGATAGACAGGATGCAGAAATGAAGGGAAAGAAGCTATAGGGTTGGGCCTCCCCAGTGGCGCAGTGGTTGAGCGCTGGGTTGTGAAGCTGCCTGCGGCCTCTGCGGCGCCAGTTCGATCCCCGGCTGCTTCCCGGCCACCGGAGGAGGGTCCCACATGGCAGGCAGACCCCTCCTGCCGCCCGCTGCTCCCCTCAGCAGTGTACTTCGGTCCTTCTGCCTGCTCTGCTCCCCGCTCTGGTGAATTCTCTCACCCTCCCACGCTTCTGACTGTACCCAGTGTATGTATAAACAAACAAACAAACAAACAAACAAATAAATTAATAAAAGAAGCTATAGGGTTGATCACCAAATTGAGGTTGGATTCCTATAATCAATCATGTGCTGCTCTGTTCTTTGTGTGTGTGTAAGACTGGTTAGCTCTAAATGCTATGAGGAAAGAGATAAAGTGAAGACTACTGCATGCTCTAGCAAAAGACTTTATATTACAATGACAGTAATAGATAAGGGGAAAGGAGAATGGGAAGTTGGGCAAAAGGGGTCAATTGTATGAATGACGGAATTTAAACTTTCAGTGGGTGAGCTTCACGTCGTATATGCAGATCGTCATTTATAAAGATGCATGCCTGAAACTTATAATGCAATGTCACTTCAAAAGAATTATTAAAAAAAATTAAAAGATGGCAATTCATCCCAAACTATCAGTAGATTCAAAACAAACTCTAAATCCCCGAAGGTTTTTGTCCCCCAGAAATCAACAAACTCATCATAAAATTTATATGGAAATAAAAAGGACCCAGAATAGCCAAAACAATTTTGAAATAGAAGAGAATTTATATTTCCCCACTTCAAAATTCACTCCAAAATTACTGTCATCAAGTCACTATGGGCATAAGGACAGACACCCATAAATAGAACAGAATGACAGTTCAGAAATAAGCCTATATATTTTGGGGTGAACAGATTTTCTTTTTTACAAAGGTAACAGATAAATTTAGTCAAGAAACAATAATCTTTTCAACAAATAGGTGCTTGAACAACTGGATATTCACAGGCAAAAAGATGAATATATTAGGGGCCTCCCCTGGTGGCACAGGTGGTTGAGCACCGCGCTGTGAAACTGTCTGTAGCCTCTGTAGTGTAGGTTCGATCCCGGTTGGCCGGCGAGGGTCCCACATGGCGCAGCAGACCTCTCCTGTCATGGCCGCTGCTCCCCTCAGCAGTGTATTTCATCAGTCTGCCTGTTCTGCTCCCCTCTCTGTCTCTGGTGAATCCTCTCACCCTCCTGTACATCTGGCCTGTACCCCGGTTCTTGTATAAATAAATAAATAATCTTTTTTTAAAAATGAATATATTAGGCTCTTATTTCACAGCATACTTAGAAATTATCATGGGACTAAATTTAAGAGTCAAAACTACAAATCTTAGGGAGCAGCCTCTGCAGCGCCGGTTCGATCCCCGGCTGCTCCCCGGCCACCGGAGGAGGGTCCCGCATGGCGCGCAGACCTCTCCTGCCGCCCGCTGCTCCCCTCAGCAGTGTCCTTCGGTCCTTCTGCCTGCTCTGCTCCCCGCTCTGGCTCTGGCGAATTCTCTCACCCTCCCGCGCTTCTGACTGTACCCAGTGCTTGGATAAATAAACAAATATAAATCTTTTAAAAAAAAAAAAAAAAAAAAAACTACAAATCTTAGGGAACAAAACAAGGAGACAATCTTGACCTTGGATTAGGCAAAGGTTTCTTTTAGCAGCAAGACACAAATGACACACTGAAAAACTAAGCCCTAAGATTAGATCAAAATAAATACTTCCGGCTTTTGAGGATGATAAAATGAATGATAAATCAGATTGGAAAGAATTACTTACAAATGATAGATATGATAATGTCTTATATCAAAAACCATATAAGGAATTCCTATAAGGCAATAAATAAGAAAAGAAATAACTCATTTTTAAGAAGGGTAAAAAATCTGAATGGCCATTTCACCAAAGAAGATACAGGAGTGGCCAATAAGCACATGAAAATATGTTCACTATCACTGGTAAGTAGAAAATGCAAATTAAAACCACAATGAGCTACTACCTCATACTGACCAGAGTGGCAATACTAAAGAAAACAGAAAATGTTGACAAGATTGCGGAGAAACCAAACTGCATACATGCTCATGAGAACATAAAACTGCACTGCCGCTTTGGGAAACAGGTGGATTTCTTAAGTAGTTAAAAAATTAAATGTGAAATTACCACAGAGTCAAGCTTTCCACTCCTAGGTGTCTACCCAAGGGACATGCAGTATGTCCATGCAACAGATCATAGCAGCAGTAGCCACTATTATAGATCCAAGGTGGAAACAATTTAACCCAGAGTTGGTGATACACAGCACAACTCTGTAAATGGTAAATGGACAAACACAATGGGGTATGTATCCATGTATCTGGCTTTCCCCCTAACTGGGCTCACTGCATTGCAATTATACTGCTAGACCCGCAGAATTAGTATCAGATCCTACAAGATCAGTCTTCCACAAGGCTGCCCTCTTCTCAGAGGGTAAGCACACTTAGGGAGTCCCTAGGTACCTGCCTTATCTGAAGTTACCATAACCCCTTTGGGTTTGATATGTCACTAGTACAACACAGAGCACTCGGGAAAGCATTACACTTATGATTATAGTATTATTATAAAGGCTACACGGAGAGCAGGTTTGGGAGGTAGCACAGAGCTTCTGTGCCTTCTTGTGGAACCGAGGCGTATCACCAACCAGCACACACTGCTGTGTTCACCAACAGGAAGCTGAGTGTCAGTGTCCAAGGTTTGTATTAGGTCTCATGGCATAGGTACAATTAATTAAACCACTGACCATGTGATTAAACTCTTATCTCCAGCCCTCTTCTAGCAGCTGGACTCCTGTAATATGTGCTGTTCCTTCTGGTGATCAGCATCCACCCCAACGTGACCAAAGGGCCTCCAGGAGCAGTCTCATTAGCATAACAAAGACATTCTCATCAGTCTGACAATTTGAGAGCTTTCAAAATTCTGCTAGGAATGGGACACAGACCAAACACATTCTTTATTATACAACACCATAAAATAGAACGCTAGTTAGCACTAAAAAGAAATAAAAGTTTAAGCACAATACACACTATATATAATGTGCATGAACTTCAAAAACAGTACATCAATGGAAAGAGACTAGACAACATAAGGCATGATTCCACTTATCTGAAGTGGTCAGATAAGGCAATTTTAGAGACAGAAAACACACTAGTGGCTACCTGGGGATGTGAGGAGAATGGCAAATGATGGTAAA